TATATGAGGGTCCAATTTTACTCCAACTGGTAGTGCATCTATCACTCACCATACCTGCCTCATACCTGCCTCCTGTGTTACACAGTGCAGTCTTGATTCACCTGTTATTGAACCCTTCCTGTAAGAAAATTGTCAGCACTTTTCTTGTGAAAACTCCTATCTCCAGCTTCCTCTAGGGACCATTGAGGATACCTACTCTTTATTAGGATTTATTTCAGCTGGCTTGGAAGTATAAACCCTCCTCCCTCCATGTAATGATTTTTTCTTCATTGTGCTATAATTATATGAACATACATGTATATTTTAAAGGAGTCCAGCACGGGTCTGTAATAGAACACAGATGTTAACACTAGCAACTCCCATTGTTCAACCCATTCTCCCATCACTGCTTGCTTCTCACACCATTTCTAATCTGGTAAACACCAGAGAGGGAGAAATTGTCTTTCATTGGCACTGGTCACTGTGAACATCCGTGTGGCTATAGTATTAATCTGGGTCAGCCATTCTGCATGGAGCTGGTGATTACCCCAGCTCATGAATGAGGAGGTGAATAGCAGGGAATACTGCTTCTCTTCCACATTTCACTCAACAGCCCTGACTCTCCCATGTCTGGCAAGGCCAGCATGCAGTCAGTGGTGATCTTCAGCTCAGCTTGTCCAAAGGATTTCTCCATAAGCATAATGGCATTGTACCACAACTTAATGACTTTCCTCCAGGTTTGAATCGGCTTGTTTGCTTTCACAGGAAATCATATATATTCACTGCTCCTCTGACTGAATTGACACCAAGCAAGTGCTGCACACATTACTTTCAACACATATCAGGACCATTCAGCTTTCAAGTGCACCAACAACATTCCAGTAATCCATTAGGTATCCACCTAGAACAGGCTTTGTTGCCATGCAAGTAAAGACAGCAAAATGAATAGAAAGGTCAATTTGAGAATATAAAAGCTTGAAAACCTCACAGTGAGGGCATGGTGAGGTAAAAAAAAAATACAATACCTTGTGCAATGGGGCTTCAGCCCTGACTGAAGATACTAGACACCATAGTTATTCAGTACTAATGCCAAGAAACTAGATTTTTAGCATTCCTATTTCCCATCTCCCTAACATTTTCCTAACATCACTCATGATGTTACAGCATCCGGGACTAAGCATTTCAGTATTTCTTGGAAAGGGTCTACAGGAGAAAAAGGAACTAAGAACTGGAAATGCATCCCTTAAGATGAATAATATGAACTAATGTACAAAACTAAGCACGGGAGAGAGAAACAAAGGGGGGCATTCTGCATTGCTTATGGACTACAAGACTATATGAAATCACAGACAGAAGGCCAGAATCTCCCCTGAGGCCACAGGAGAACAAAAAAGGGAAAATATAATATTTATGAGATAAATCAGCTTTCACCTAAGATAATTCTATGCAAATTCATTTATAATTAACTCTGTTCTCCACCAGCAATACAGAAAATAGTTATATATTTACAAGAAGTATTCAAAACTGGTTTATTTGTTGGAAAGGAGAGATGGAGACTGAAGTGTCATAGTTTACAGCCATGTGTTTTCAAATAGAGACTAATGTATGCATACCAGCACTAACTTTCACACAGTAGTGCCAAAATACTGATTAACTGCAAAGTTATCTTTGCAGAGACACTACAAACAGAGCATCGCTCTTAAAATTAGAGGCTGAAATGACCTGCTTTGGACTCCAGTGCCRTAAGTGGGAAATATGTCAGGACTCTCCCCCCACTGCTACCAAAGATGGTTTTGTTGAGTCCCCAGTTCAGGGTTCAAACTCCTGCTTGTTTCTAAACAGAGGAATTCATATGCCAAGGCCTGGACACATATGTAAATCTTGCCGTCTCCTCTTGCTTTYGTGTGAGAACATCTTGGAATTTTATAGGACCTTAATTCAAAGGGTTGAGTTGTGCATATGAACTAACATCCTGTGTCTGATCACGGAGCTAGCAACAGCGTCACAGTCTCATCCCAAAACCCACTGGGTATCATCAGCACTAGTCTTGTCAACAATTTATGCGGGTTCTAAAGCCATCAAAGTGTTTTTCCCCATTTCTCTGAGAGATCCTTTACAAAACATAAACAAATACACAGAAAGACACAGACATTTCTTTGCATGATTTCACTACAGACATGCTTTTCTTATTAAACTTTAGTGTTATTCTTTGATTGTAGGAGCCTTCTTTCCCAGGAAATCTATGACTAAGCCTGTGTAAATACTCGGCTTGAGGGTCTGCTCATGCGGCTATTGTGGCTGTTCGCGGAATTTCTCAGTGGGTATGTGTGTGAATAGCCTCCTAGTCATATGTATAACATATCCTCCCTCCCTTCAACATCCTCATCCATCCATGTGCTTCCAAGGATGCTGGCTAGCCACTTTATTAGCAACAGAAATGGGACTCAGGTCCTGATGAGAATCTGCTGGAAACTGCCAATGGCTCCGTCAATTGCACTGGAGTTCAGTGACTGCCTCCGAATTCCCRTATTGGGTGGTTATGGATTCGTTGCTTTAGTTGGCCTGGCCCTATGCACTACAAAGAATTGTCAGTTCCGCTTAACTTAAGCACACACTAAGGACACTCCATTATCACTAACTAAATCCATTATAAAAAGTGTATCTGCTGTTCTCTCTTGTTGGCTCCCACGTGAGGCAGGTCCCTGTGTGTGTGTGCATTCCTCCACGCTGGCTTTTGGAGGGGGACACCCGGCAGACAGATGGTGTGCCAGCATTTCCCCCAGGCAGCAGCTTTCCCAGCAAGGCTGCCGCACACCCAGAGCCTGGCTCCGTGTCTCATCCCCATCCCTGTGGTTCCTATCAGGCCAGCAGTAAACTTGGGTTGTTTATTGGATCTCAGACTTTCTTTGCATGTACACAGGAAAACAAATGCTTCCCACTCAGCCCCACATCCAAGGCAGGCTGCTTAGCAAAATCCCCATGTGGGACACACAGATGGGACAACCAGAGATGCTTCCTGCCCCGGGCTGCTCTGAGCGGGTGATGGAGCCCTGTCTCCGCAGCGCACTTCCCTGGCCATCCTGCCAGGGTATCACACACACCATGCAGCTCGCTTTTCCTGTGGATAGGGAACAGCAAGCAGGGAACGGAGGCTCAGGTTAGCAAGTGCTTAGGCTCAAACAGTGCGCGTGGGGCATGGATGACAGAGCCGGGAAGCRAGCCAGGTCTCCCAGATCCTACGCAGGTGCCCCGGCTCCTAGGCTGCCTTTCATCTTTCAGCATTAAAGGCCTGGCACCTGGCACAGTCCTTCCGTAGCCCTATCTTCAGTCAGCCTCAGGTGCTGCCCTCCTTTTGGCTCATTTATGCTGGTAGTAAATTAAGTTTCAGGGTCTCAGAATGAATTAAAGAGGGGAAGGAGAAATTGAGTAGATACTCACGTGCCTGCATACATGCTTCTCTTAACTAGTGAGCTTTAGGACAGTCACCTATCACAGTTTCTTGCCTCTTCCTCGGAAATAGTGGGTGCTGGTCGCTGCTTGCACCCGCACTGTGGCGTATTGCAGCCAAGGGTGCCATTCTGCTGTCTGAAGGGGATGCTGAACTCTCTGCCAGAAGAAGGTCCTCACGAGTGACACCAGTTGTTTGAGAACATGCTGCACTGTTTCCCTCTCCGCTGACATTTCTTTACATAAGCAGCTGAATAGCAAAACATTTCAGCGTTCATTACTGATTTTGTTATTTATAGCAAGCTGCCACAGATGGGGACGGCGGCATGGTTCTATCTTTAGGGCGTAGCGCCTGCCTGTCCTTACAGACAATTGGCAATTAGCACAAGAACAATTTGTTTATCTATTCTCAAACTTAAACAAATAGGAGAGCCATTTGTCTGTCAAAATCCAAATCCCTCCCATTGCCAGATCTCCAGGTTAACTGCTTAATGAATAGAGCTCRTTGCTTGAGGCACTGAGGTAAAGATAAAAGTTCCTTGAAAAAAAATGTCTAAAGCAAATTAAATATGCAATAGAATACATAACTTGTTACATGCTGAATGGAAAGCACTTGGATCACTAAGAGCAGGAGTATAGGACAAGTGGGAGATGATGGTGATGTCAAGTACATATGCAGAAATGGACCGGATAGCATGGAGGGATGGTGCAGTCTATACATCCTCCTGCCAGTTCTGCCTGGTACTAGGCTGTCCCAGATAGTATGTGCACTTGCTCCAAGTCCATATAGCTTCTCTCAGCTGATCTGTATGGGTAAATCCCTACATGAGCAAGAAACTGGGAGATGAAAAGCAGCGGGGATACTTCAAGCTGCCCAAGTACCTGGTTGAATAAAACCTTGCATTTGTATTAAGATGTTCCTGCATGGCTGGATGACAAGACCCTGCCCAATGTAAATACCACACAAGCCAGAAAGAAGAAGACATGACATCATTTTTTCTATTTCTGTAGCTGATCCCAACCCTTCTTTGTTCTCTTTTATTCCCTACACCCATCCCCAAAGTCAGAGGAGAGAGGGAGAGGCTTTAAAGATGGATGAACTTTGTGTGTTGTACCGAAGGGTTGGCACTTGTCCCCTCTCTCCTTCGCCCATGACTAATGACAGGAGAGGAAGAGGAGCTGTTGAGGGGGCAGTTACACTCACTTTAAAGACTGAAGCAGTCTGTGTGGAAGAAAAAAAAAAGAAAAAAAAATCTCTTCTTTCTCACAGTTGAAAAGTTTTCAGCATTTGAAAGTTTTCAAGCCTGTAGGTGCAAGACGATGGGAAGAAAAAAATCAGAGGACTTTTGAGATTACTGCTGTGCGGTAGCATAAGCAGGTCAAAGCCAATGAATTTTACCTCATCTCCATTTCAGAACTACCTGARGCCCTGTGAAGAGCTGTTTGCTTATTGTCCAACCACCAGGACTATCTTTATTTGACCTTAGAAGAGTTTTCTTTTTAGGGATAAAAGCTACTAAATAGAAATCCCTAGAAAGAAATGCTAATGAGGGCTTTTTCCTTCTGTCTTTCAGGTCACAACCCCGAATTTCCCCGTAGTCGTCAAGCTGGGGCATGCTCATGCTGGAATGGGGAAGGTAAGTGAAAGCAGAAATGCRTATGGCTCATGAAAAACACATATATATGCGGCATGGCATCCCAGTGATGTATCCTGCATGTGGCTGCCCAGTGAAGGGGCTCCCCAGCGTCTCTCTGTGTGGCCCTGGCTGTTCTCTCCTCTGCTTTCGCTCTCGAGGCAGGCAGCGTATGGGGGCTGGAGGCAGTTTGGGAGGCAGGAGGCGGGTTGTGGACAGTGACAGAGAAGCTGGCTGGGCTGAAGTCATTAGGCTTGTATTTTATGTGGTTTATCCTCTCCTGCAAGTGGTAATGTTGTTTATTCAAGCACCTGTAATGTGCAGCTAGTCTGCACCCCATAGCTCTCACAATGAGGAGTAGCAGCACTGGTCTTTTTGAGTGCATTACAGTGACTTTATTCAATAAAATGGGAACTCTCTTCAGTTATTTTTTCACTCCTTGTGATGGAAGAACAAGACCTTACAAAGCAGAGCAGCTGGTTGCCTGCCAAGGGATCCTGAAAAACAATTCCCTGCCCAGAAGGACCTGTTTGTTTTTCCCAGGCTCCCTGGGATCTTTATTCCCCCAGTGAATTAGCAGCTCCTCTTTCCTGGGGTAGCTGGGCCCCAGTGAGGCACCAGTACCTTCCTGCTATATGTTAGCCCCATTTTTCGCAAATACCTTTCATCAAAGTATAGTCTGGGTGCCTAAAACGTGATTGTCCAGAAGCAGGAAAATCTGATATATCATCCCTGAATCCAAATGGGTGGTGATAAAGTTCATAAGAGACCCCCCTGTCACAGTGTTTCCCTAGGGCCGACAAGCCTTCCTCCCGCGGCCGCACACCCTCTTTGCCTTAAAATCTTATATGGCTCTGCCAGACAAGCTTGGTACAGCTTGTTTCCTCGAGCTCTGGAAAAAATAAGCGCTTTCTGGCTTCCTGGATAGCACACAGAAGCTCTCATAATCTTCCTTGCAGTGGCTGCAATGTTCCCCTGTCTGGCTGGTAGCAGCCTGAGAGGAAGTGGGCTCAGATTCCTGGCAAGTGGTACAGCTGGCTGCCAGCATCAAAGGAAAAGYATTTAAATAAGTGGGGAAACCGCGCTAAGATGTTGGAGCTCCACATATTAAACAGGCGGAGGTGTCAGTGTGGTAGAGCACATGCGAGCAGCCCAGTGCTCTCCCCACCATTTCCTTGGGAGTGATTTCATTAGCAAAATCAAGCAAACCAGAGCAAGCCCGGAGGAAGATCTCATCTTACGCTGCCTCTGAGGAAAGATTTCAAGCTCCCTGGGATTTATCTTGGTCAAACTGCAGTCTTGGATCTCTCTAACTGCTTTGCAATGCCACCTGCAATGTAAGGAGAGCTTCATGTTTCTCTCTTGTGCAAGAAGCCCCTCTGGCTGCTACAGAAATGGCAGAATCAGAGGAAAATGTCCCAGTTTGAACAGTATTTCCAGGCAGCATATCTCTCAGCTGTTGTTTTCTGTAGTAGCCACCAGATCTTCTACCTCCCTGTTTATTTCACCTTTTATTCTTTAATGAGGTTGATTTTTGCTGTCACGAGTTCTACAAGAATAAGGTTTCTATTCAAACTCCAGGCACAATTGTATGCAATAGTACAAGGGGGTTATGTAGGAAATCATTCCAAATGAAGATAGGCTGACAGCCAGCATCCTAGAAAAAAGGACTGGTGTGAAGCCAAGTTTACTTTAGCTCATTATGAAATTAGGGACTGCAAGCAAACTCTGGAGGTGGATTTGAGCATCGAGTTTTAACACTGCTCTGTTCACTAGGTGGAAAAGGAAGAGTTGTTGACCTTATGGTTTTAGTTTGGTCCCTTTTCCAGCCGCAAACAGCCTAAAGGAAAATTGAGACTGACTAAATGAGTCATATTGAAGTCCCACTGCATAGAGGGGGAAAAAAAGAGAAAATGAAAATAAAGAACAAGTTATTGGTTTAAAATACACGTAACAAGAGTGTATTTGATTTTATCTTTAAGACAATTGAGTTCAAGACCAAAGTGGGCTAATAGAAAGAAACTACAGAAAATGGCAAGATAAGTAGAGACAGCAGAAAAATGGACATACTGAGAAAGTCATTAGTAATAATARAACATCCTTAAAGTAATTTAGAAAAGGAACATTTCCAGAAAACATAATGGTGATTTTAACCATCCTAAAATAAAAGCAGTAATCAATGATGATAAGGAGATTGCAGACAGCTAAAGGATTTCTTTGCATTGGTCTTCAGAAGTGGAGATGATAGAAGGAAATAAGAGGTCTCTAGCTATAAAATATAAGTAATACGGAAAGAGAGATGTTTGATTTCGGTTTGGATGAGCCTAGGAAAGCAAATGTTAACATAGCACCTGCGTCGGGTCATATTTTGTACAAAAGCACTAAGTAAGGAAACAAAGGATAAAATAACCAACCTATTAGCCAAAGTACACATGTGAGTATTAAAAATAGCACTTACTGCAGCAAATGATGCCAAGACAGTAAGCCATGCACCKATACTTGTAATGGGTGCTTCAAAGGGTGTGAGCATTCAGATTACAATCTTATTATGAGGAGAAATTGTCAAGGAAGTACTTATATATTTTTTTCTTTTTATTAACAATAAAATCACGTGTAAGGGGAGGTACCAAGACTTAGAAGAAAGAGCAAAGACAGGAAGTCCAGACACTGTTATTCTTTATTTGTACTGAGGTAGCGGTCAGGAGCCTGAAAATATCAGGACAAAGAAAAGGCCTCTTCCCCAAGAAGCTCTACCACTGGCTCACAGGGATATCATGTCATTTCACCACTCTTCTTCAGTTTCAATGGGACAACTGTAACAATTACCTGGTATTTATAGCTAATTCATGTTCATAAAGCCCTTGRTGCAAAAGAAGGGCTGAGCCTTTATTATTTTATAATAATACCTGGAAAGAGCCTAAATACAATAGTCAGAACATATCCTTTGTTTTCATATTTTTGCAAAATTTACTCACCAATTTTAAGCAGAGGTGAATAGAGGATCTTGAAACCAAAATTTAAAAAATTACTTTGTTAGGACATGTAAGAAACAGGTTATGTTGACTATCTTTATCTTGTACGAGTAGTTAATATACAAGGTCAGAACCAACAGGGATGACAGCATACTACTAATGATAAAAATGCTCAAGCGATACTTGCATATAAGGAGTGGTTGCAAATGAAGAAAATAAATCCGCAGTAAAAGCATCTTTTAAATTTCCTGCTAAGAAGTCCAGAAACAACAGTCTCCCTAATGACTTGAACCTAAGATCCTTCACCCAGAGAGACAAAGGGACCCCAGGCAATCTAATCATCCACAAGTCAGACATGCCCCTCAGCTCTTTCCATAATGGCCTTTTTCCCCCTTCCAAAATTTGTCATCATCCCATTTCTTGCAGGCTCTGGAAGCTCATCCAGTGAGCTTGTCCAATATACTATCAATATGGATATTTTAGCAGAAACATTACTTAGAAAAACAGCATATAGTAGAGTAAGCAGAGTAAGACCTTTTTCTCATGCTGTGTTTTAAGTTCCCCAGGGTCACAGGGCAAGAGTGTCAAAGAACTCTTCCAAGAAAGCTATGGATGGACACTGAGAGAAGACATCCTTCCATACAACTGAACTGTTGTTTGCCCAATATTTCATAAGAGATGGAGGTATTTTTTGTAAGCATTGTGCAGTTTGAGCCAGTTGAAGTCCTACCTATCCCAGAAAAGGCTGAGAGATCTCTGTTAGYGGACACTAGAGTTAGAAAGGAATAACACTTCTTCCTGGCTCCAGACATCTTCATGCCAGAGCCCTTTGCAAGGAATAAAGCTCTGAGTGTGTTAATATCTGCAATTTGTGTGCTAACATGACCCTAAAGTGCCCCAGGAACAGAGCCCAGCACTGCAAATTCACTCAAAGAGCCTCTTCACCTCTTCCTGATCAGATCATGGGAAGGAAACAACTGCCAGATCTCAGAGAGAGGAAAAACAGTTCCTATTCATGTGGCTGTCATATATATTTATAAAAGATTAATAAATATCCATATATTGCTACTCTTACTTTATTTTTAGACCTTTATAATTAAGTCAGTTTAAGAGTCACCTCCTATCTATTCCTGCCACATAATTATGAAAACACCTCCCTGGTACAAATCCTGTCTCAGATGAATTTATTACATTGTAGAAGAAAAACTTGTTGTTCATAATAATGTGGTCAGAGTTATTTTCTCTCTTACTGGATGGGAAAGACTTTTTTTTTTTATGTACAAATATAGAGCAAACTAAACAGAGCCACTATGTAATGTAAAAATACCACAGGCTTTTTATCAGGAAGGACAACTCGTCACCTTGTCTCTCTCGGGACTGGAAATAGAATGTTCTAAAAGTGAGAGCTTTGAAAATCCAGTGTGCTAAAGAGGAAAGGAAGGGAAAAGGGCTGCCTTGGTTTGTCAAGGAACAAATATTTTCTTTTTCAGAGGAAAAATAATGACTTGACATACAACATTCACAACAAAGCAGCCCAATCACTGCATTCCCACTGACTCATGAATGAGGAGGTACCACCCATCTTGAAAATAGCAGGAACATCCCAATTTTTTGCACATAAGACTGTAACCTTTTCCTGGATGCAGAGAACTGTGACTGATCCAGGGTACTGGGAGCAAAGCTGCCAAGACATGTGGCTGACCACAGCTCTTCATTAGAAAGTTCATAGGGATTATAAGACTTAATTCATTAAAGACTGTGAAATACTTGGACAACTTCAATTTGCGGCTAACAATAAAATGCAGGCTCGGCTGTATCATTATTATTTTGAGGTAGGTCAAAAGTTGAATATGTGTTGGTTGGATCTAGTATTTTCTGAAAAGGGGAGTGTAATTGTGGGGTAAAGGAAAGGAGACGCTGAGGAAAACCTCTGTGCAGAGCCATTTCTGGAAACTAGTTGTCCCAAAATGTCAAAGTCACTGCAGAAAGTCTAAGAGCAGGTCAAGAAGGATTAAAAAGCACAAGCTCTGTGTTGCCATGCAATTTGCTCTACAGGAAAACACTCAGACAGTACCTTGTTCACAAGGCTACCAAGACACCACTGAACACACAGCCAAGCCCTGCCCCAGCTTGGCCTTGTACACTTACCTTCTAACTGAACCTGTCTCTAATACCAATTTGGATACAGAAACTGCTTCTGCAAGCCATCTGTGAAGTAATGTGGGTTTAAACCGTGAGGCAGAATTAATTCTGGAGGACACTCACAGAGGTTAAGAACAGGGCAGCCCTGGTGGACTACTATAATTCTGCCACTTTAGCTGACTGTTTTTTCATGTGGCCACGTAATTAACAAAAGAAAAGGTCAGCAATATCTGTAATACTTAGGCTAAAGATGAGAGAAGAGTGCCACAGCCCTGGGATCCTGGCGTCCATGAAYGTCATAGATGTACAAGACTATACAAGAAGGAGAGCAATGGGCAATAAATTTGACAACTATGAGACAGAGGAAGCAGAAATTCTTTACCAGGAGTCTGGGCTCAAGATGTTACAATGGTTCAGGCTGCCATGGTTATGTCCAAGGTGGGGTTTTAAGGACCCTGAATATCCTGTCTTGCAGGAAGGGCTCCAAAGATGGCCCAAACTCCCCTCCCCCCTTCAGTAAAAGGGGACATGGTGGTGATGGATTTACGGTTGGACTTGATGATCCTGAAGGATCCTCCTTTTCCAACTATAAAGATTCTGTAATTCTGTGATTCTGTGCTAGGGAACTAGACCGTACTGAGGTGAGAGAATAAAGCCACAATGGAAGCCAGGACTATCCCGGGGAGCTTTCTTGCTCGGAAAAGGCATTTGTCAACACAGTGGCCCAAACTCTTAACAACAGGTCTCTAAAACTCTACAGCAAACAGCAGCTGATGGCTCTAGAATGAGTCTATTGCTGATCAAACAGCCAGCACAGCTAAGCAAACAGGCCCACAGGGCAAGGGCTGTGTTTGCACTCACTGTTTGCACTCCCCTATGCAGCTAGTGGGATACTGCATTCATTCTAAGGGTGCAAAAAAAAGGGGGAAGGGAGAATGAAGGAGAGAAAAATGGCTTCCTGTCGATTTCTCCAACTTTCCTCACTTGCTACGCTTTCATATTTCGGCCTGCTTTTTGCCATTTTAGAAGACAGATTTATCCCTCATTAGGTAAATTGCTAACTGTTTGCTCTAGAATGTTTGTTAATGATCCCATCTTAAATAAGGCCCTCTGGCGTCACACCGCATCCWCTCCGGCTTTGGTTATCATGAGAGTTTTTTTCTTCTGCTAGGAGAATGGATATTTTATTGATRTGTAAAAGGGTTACAAGGCAGGAGGAAATGAATTAGAAAAAAAATGTAAAAGTAGAAAGCTAATAAAATGGTGGACTTGATAGATAAGACAGGGAAATAAATCTAATTTGACTGTAACTTGAGAGCTTCCTGTTTATGAAGTAATAACTGCATCCTGGACTAAACCAGCATTAAGCCAGGACACAGTTGTTATTTTGTCAAATTTGGCCAGCTCTAACAATTAACAAAAGAAGTCTCAGATTTCAGTTTTGGTGGGGTGATTATTTTGATGCCCTGTGGGAAAATAAGGGCCATGAGTTCATAAATGGGAAATTCTATGAGGTGTTTGCTCTCTGAAAAGCTCCCAAGAAGGGTTCTGGCATGGGTCAGGAAAGACAACAGAGGTGCTTCCAGAGGCCCATGTAGCTTTGTGGAAGTAGTGTCCTTTGGTTTTCACTTCTTATTATGTGYTTCTTGTAAGACTCCCCCGTCTTTACCTATTTACACAGTCAAAAGTCCTAGGTCGATTGGAAAGAAACACCCTCATGTGCTCCTACTCTCTCCCCATGTGGAGAAGACCCTTCTTTTCCTTCGCACACCACGTTTCTGTGAGAAAAGCCTGCCTGGGTGAGAAGAGCACATCATTCCTCTCAAGCAAGAGCAACCTGGTCTAGTTGCAGCCTGTGAAGGAAGCGGCACCACTTCCCTACGTCTGGCATCTATGTCCCTGAGTYGGGAATGCAAGCACTTTGCCCGGGACCCAAGGAAACCTGTTACACAAGCAGCACTTTGCTTTGGATCCCACACATGTCCTCATTCCAAGTAGATCATTACATAACGGCTTTTGTCTCTTCCCATTGCCAAAGGGCCTGGGAGAACATGTCGTCACCCTGCGCGTCGCCTGCCCCTCGAGTCCCTCCTGCCATCACCTCATCTGGGTGGGACCCGCCTCTCGCCTGGTGTCATTCAGCCCCGAGCCGCTCTTATCAGCAGGACACAAACACCCGGCCCCAACGCGGCCTGCGGCCTCCTTCCCAAGAGGCCCAATTCCTTGTGGGGCTGGGTCGGCCCTGCCGAGTGGGTGCTCCCCTTCATCCTTACCACCTTCATCCCTGTCCCTTTCATCCTTACCACCATCCTTGCTTTCGCACCCACTTCTCCCTGCCCAGCTCCCAGGCTGGGGCAGCCCATCCGATGATGTGCTCTGTCCACGTGGGGCAGCAGCAAAGCCTCGAGCATGGCTGCTCCTCCTGGGTGGCATACCATGTGTGTTTTTACATTTCTCCTTTTTGGTTGTTGTGCTCTTTTTTTTTTTTTCCCTTCTTGAAGGACAACCAGAGTTTCCCTCGGCGCTTTTCCTCAGCAGATCCTTGACAGTGACAGCATAACCCTCAAGGTATCTGCACCACAAGAGAGGTGGGAGGCCCATGGGTACTATGCAGTAAAGGGAGAAGTTAAGACCCAGACTCCTTCCTCTAGAAAGGGTCATGAGTCAAACCAGCTGTACTTTTCACCTTCACCATGACCCATCCAGGTCTCAAGAGCTTCTCTGCCCTGCTCCTGCGTGATGTAGCTGCATCTCTGTTTTCTGCTGCATCCGGAGCTTAAACAAAACAGTCTWAATAGAGCAATACCCCAGCTGCAGGTTAGCAACAACCTTGTCCTCTGTGCTCTATTGAAGATGGCTCCTGCCCTCTCATGGCTGGAGGCAGACATGTAAAACCACTTGTTTGTTCTTTGCAAAGAAACACCAAATACCAAGGCACACGCGCTTCCTTCAGCCGGCTCCACGGAGTCTGGCATCACTTTCTTTTAACACATGTCCTGATGCAACTGGGGAACTCTCCTGGGCAGAAACTGTCTGGCTGTTACCAGCATGTAGACACTTGGAAAAGCAGGGTCGCAGTCACCAACTGGGGTCAGTAAGTATTGTCAAACCACAAAGCCTAYGCAATACATAATGTGTTCATTTGCTTCCTCAGTCTCTTCACGCAGTGTCAGGCATTTTTTTTTTTTGCCTATCAACCTACTCTTCCTGTATCTGTCCCACATTGAGGAACAGGAATCGTTAGGACTTCTCCAATGCGCCAAGCAGATTTTTGCTAACAGGCTAAATGCTGTGGTTGAGAGGATGAATGAAGTCATGTTGTCTTTCATGTTCTTGTCACCTGCTTGTTTGGTTTTCCTGCTCCTACCCCATTAGCTTTGGCAGAAATTTGATTGTACTATTAGAGCCTTTCCTTTTTTGATCCTTTTTTTTTTTTTTTTTGGTAGGGGGGATAAGTTTCAGAATGTTTCTCATAAATGAATATAAATCTCAGAAGAGCTGCCTTTTCAGGAAATATCTTGTTCATTCTTTACACTCCTTTCATTGCCAAGTGTGACTGCAGTTCCCTACCAGTTGGCCACACACATGTCCATGGCATCATGCTCACAGAGCTCCCCAAGAATCATGAACTTCCCCAGAGGCATCCCTTTCCTTCAGTGTTTGCTTCCAACTGGGGGGCCTTCATTACTCCTCAAAGAAAGGCTGGATGTCAGTAATGTGAAATGCCAAGGAACTGAAGACTGGAAGTGGCAGACAACCAGCTCTCTTGTTTATTTTATAGCATTAGTTTTATTTCCTGACCACCCAAAATAATCTGTTCTCATCCCTCCCAGTATGGGAAATAGCAGTTCCAATAATTGAGTGTAGTAATACCCCTTAAGAGATGAAATATGCTTTTGAAGCATCATAAACTTAATGAGCATTAGCAAGAGCCATCTGGGCAAAGCTCTGACTGCTTTCTTGGAGATAGGTTTTCCAGAGCTTGCACATGAGGGAAGGAGAAAGTGATCATTTTGTTCTGGGTTAGGTTTGTCGGGGAATGTCTCTTTTCACATTACACAATCTCTGTTCTGTTCTCAGTTCCATGGGTGTGTTTTTTAACTGGCATTGTGTGATTCAGGCTCTGAGATGGCTTATTCCTCTTCTTTCTGTGCTTGTCACCTCTCGGCGGGATCTTGGCAATCAAGGTCAAAGTTGAGAACCAACATGATTTCCGAGACATGGCTAGCATAGTAGCCATGGCAAAAACCTACGCCACGAGCGAGCCATTCATCGACTCCAAGTATGACATCCGGATCCAGAAAATCGGCAACAATTACAAGGCTTACATGTGAGTGCATGGCCGTGCTGGCGTGAGTTGGGGKCTAATGCTCAGGAAGGATATGGCTGTGGATGTGATTCAGTTGGCGTCTGCTCAGGGTTGGAGTAGGAGGATGAGGGAAATTCCTTGAGGACTAACCCTACTCTTCTTTCCCCCGGTTGAACCCAGATCATCTTCTCTATTACTCACTGTCAGCCCATTGCTTCTCGAAAGTGAATCTCTCTAGTTGTTTGTGAGCGTTGCTTTGTTCCCTGGATGAAAGCTGTCCTCCACCATTGTCCCTCACTCCAACACCTCCTTTTGTGAAAGGGCCTGCCTCTTCCAAGACTTTCMACAAAATCTTCCAGTTTCCAGCGCCCTCTAGTGTTCCCCTTTCCTCCTGGAGGGCAATCAGGAGAAAGGGATGGCCCAATAACCTTCTGTGCCAAAACTGACTGCAACCTGTGGAGACCTCCAGCATCCAACCCGCAGCAGCCCTGAGCTTTATCTCATGCCCAGCCCAAGCTTGCAGCACCTTTTACACATGAAGTTTCAAGGAGCACATGGCACTGGTACAACCAGCCATGGCCTGGCCAACATGCAGGACTCCTGCAGGCATTTTGTGTGTGTGTCGCTGGAAGGAGAAGTCAAGACATTTTTGCAGGTGCCCAGCGAGCTACACCTGGCTCAGCCAGACAGCAATGATCTGAGGGAGATGGTGCCAAGGCAGCACCTTGTGAGGGCCAGCCCACTCCAATGTCAGAGCCAACATCTGGCATTGTAGGCAACCATGCGAGCTCCCAGGACATCCTCCCCATCGCTGCTACCACTGGGTGGGAGATTCAAGGGCCAATGCTCCTCACCTCACCTGGCCTCCTGGCACTGAGGGTGGTGGCAGCCAGAAGGGCAGCTTTCATGCCTGGAACATCCCTCACATACTGATGTGCTTAAACAAATCAAGGAGTATTCAGCCAAACTTCAGCAGTCGTTGAGCTCAATTAAGGATGTAACCGCATGGCTCAGTAAGACACCTGTTTCTTCTTACTGCAAAACAGTAGACAAGAATAGCCAAATAACACAGCTCTTCCAGAAATACCGCTCCTTATTCGGCCGCAAAATTCAGGATGAGGAGACTGCTCTGGCAGTATGTTCTCCAGGTCACCAGATAGATTTCATATGTTACCTAAGACTCACAATATTGCAAATTTTAGGTCTGTTTTTACAAACCCCCAGGCCATAGCTATGGTACAAACAGAGTTAAATAAGATAATCAAATGTACCTGATCACATACTTTTCAGCTATAGCTGCCTAAAATTCCTGGTCAGATTCCTAGCACAAAGGTATTTAAATAAACTTGATAATAACTCAGCCACATTCTTCATGGGTAAGACTTGTGGGACATTCAGCTACTTCATGTGAACCTGATGAGAGAAAATGTGTTTTAAATCTGATCAGGTCTACAACAGCACAGTTCCTTAATATTAACATCTCATGCACAACCTGGCTCAAATCAGTCAAAGGAAGGAAGGTTTAAAATATCCATTAAAATTCTCTACTTCTGCCAACCTACTCAGCCCTGGCTCCACAATCTGCTCCCAGTCTGTCTCTAAGTAAAACAAAGGTCCAGTTAGCCTGATCACACCTTTCCCCAGTTACTGTTCGCACTCGCCACAAACTCACCCAGACAGAGATCAAAAGTAATACCAGATGACTGAGGAAAGCAAGCAGTCACACGAAGAGCTAATCCTGCTTGGGAACGTAGCTGTGCAAACAATTGTTTGCTAAATGAAGTGTGTTTTCATTTGAGTACTTGACTAAACAGCTATGAACGGGAAATACTTTAATGAAATTGCATCTAACTAGCAAAGAAAAAAAATATAGCAAAATTCACTAAGAGACTTGTAAACCCAGAGAGTGTATTTATATTGAGAGAGCCTTTTATGGAAGTGAGTCTGGGAGAGTCAGTCTAATTGTGGGCTGTTCCTTATGGAAGGTATCAGTTTGTCCCAACATCAGGCAGAATGAGAAATTATTTCTATGGTATAAATAAGTCCCTACTGTGGCAGAGGGCAGAGGTAAAAGCACCCCAAATATCAGGGTTCTCGCTGGTGTCTCAAATAGAATACCCAAAATCATGAGTCACGCTAGCAAATCCCAGCCTGAAAGGCAATTGCAGCATCTGCTGTAGCGTCAGACCAATGGAGAACTGCTTTGATCTCTGAACCATGGAATCTACCCAATATTTTTATACCTTCACCCACACATTTAGGCTTTAAAAGTCCCCTTCTTTCTGAGAAAGAACTGTGTTATTGAACTTCTCCAGAATATGTTTACTTTGCACCAAGCATCTGCCAGAGGGAGGATGCTACAGAGTGACTCATGCATTCCTCCCCTTCCCAGATGCTCAGTGCACTTCCTTCCAGCTCATGACCCAGGCCTTGAGTTCAGGTTCCCATTAACTTCAGCGCAGTGACTCCAGATTGACACTATTAACAAACACCCACGTAGCCCCTGCTTTGGGCCATCCTCAAAACAGCAGATAAGAAGCATGTGACACATGCCTAAAATTCCACTGAATACATTTGACTGATATTTAATACTGCTGAGGAGAAAACATGAATATTGCTCATGTTGCAGGAGAAAAAAGGACAGAAATTATACACTCCCCTCCCCAAGTGGAGGTGAGCAGAGGAACCATTGCCAGTTAGGGCTTGTGAAGTGGTTTTCACTTTGGATTACCAGCAGCTGCCGATTGTCAAGCATGGGACAATCTTTGCCACCAGTTTTTAGTAAGAGGATCATATACTTTCCATCCTAGTCTCATGGCTTCTGATTTCGTCACCTCAAATGTGGTTCATTGCCATGTGCTCTTCAGGAGGATAGAAACTACTGCACTACTTTTAGACTGAAATAGCTCAGCTGGAAGATGGTGGATGAGGGCATCATTAATCAAGGACCTGCAAGTCTATCCACTTATCCTAAGCAAAGTTGCGGGTATCAGGCTACAAATTTACCTGAGCTACTATCCCTAAAGCCTTTGTTCCATTCATTTAAGATATCTGCACACTGATACAGCCCCTTGGCATTTAGGATGATTGGATGAACTTTGAGTTCYTAGCAGAAATGGGCTTGGAAGCAGAGCATCCTTAGGGAAACACTATTGCTTTCAATTTCCTTTTCTACCTTGAGTTGAATGAAAATGGGGAATTGGAGGGAGGAGAAGTGGTGTTAAACTTCAGACTGGAATTATTCTGTCATACTGGGAAGCGAATGATCTTGACAGAGACTTCAGTTGGAGCTTTTCCATTTAGAAATAATTTGGAATACGCTCAAGAGTAATATTTGATATGTTATGCCCCATATTGTACCATATCCTCCCTGTTCTTATTTCTGGAGTTTTCYCAAGCCAAATTACCTTCCCAAACTATACAGCTGTAATTTGGTCCTCTTCAGGAAAACTCAACTGCTTATGTTCAGTATTCTAGCTAGATCTTGTAAACACTGATATTTAATCATCTTGTTAGAAATCACAGTGTGGAAGTTCTCATCAGTAGTGGGACTTTAATGCCATCTGCTACTATAATTTTCTGGATCTATATATTAATAAAAACTGGCTTGCAGTGCAGAACTGAGCAACATAATCCTAAGTACCAAGACATGTAAAAATCAAAAGAGAGGCTGAGGGTTGAACGCCGTACTTAACACTGTACATAATCAAAGGGCTCGTAATCTCAAAACTTGTGGAGAAATCTATTCTTTTGCTTAGAAAGTAGTGCAGAAAGATATATGTTGGGTGAGAATCAAGTGCCAAACTCAACTATATGAGAACACAATTATTCAATATAGTAAGCCTTCTCCCCCTGACTATTCCTGTAAAAATGGATAATAAAAATCATTTAAATATCASAGTCAGGTTAGGAGAAAAAGGAAAAAGGACCCTGGAGTGTCCTTCAGCAAGGGACAGGGACACTCTAGGTAGTCAGCTGTCATGATCCAGGTTTACATTTTGRCAGGACATCAGTATCTCTGCTGTTCCACATAGTCTTTAATGGACAAAAAAAGTTAAGAGCATCTTTTCTACATTTCATCGAAAAGATGACAGAATAGGCAAGAAGGATTTCCACAACACCATACTAAAGCATTGGATCACTCCTCATGATCCCTTCCTAAATCACTACCTAAATTTCCTACTACATGGAGACAGACCTTACATGAATCCTGTCAGCATGCTGACTTGTCCTAGCTTGTGCCAGGGTTATATGCACACTCTTATCACAGCAACCTGTCCAAGATTTGCTCTGCATCTAAGTTTAGGGGAAGGAAATGGCTTACCCATGGGTGATGGTGAAACCCAGAATTTGTCAGTATCTTTCTTGTAAATCAAGGGTCAGTTGCAGCTAAGGAAACTCCAACCATTTTATGATTAAAAACTCTCTGAGTCCAGAGAGAATAAGCCACTAAAAAGCCAGCAAAAAAAAAAGCCAGTGAAAGAGAAGGTATAATACTATTTTCTRTGACATCAATACAATTGAAATCAAAGTCATGAAGACCCAGAATATAACAGCTTATACTTCTGGAGGTGTTCAGACAGATGTTTTCCTGCAGAGTTGTTCTTCCAGAAAGAAAGGATGAATATTACAGAAGACAAGGCTGGTTACCTTGGAGTTCATCTACAGACATGTCTGCTCTCCTGAGCCTGATGTATAAAGAAAGAAAGTACTCACAAAGCTAATACTGATCACCCACCAGACACACAGTCAAGTCCCTAGGAGATTTCTCTGACACCTTGTTCAGTTTTTCGTAAGTCTGAACAATATATTCTGTATGGAGGGCAAGATTTGGAAAGACTCCTGTGAGGGGGAAGCTTACCACATCCTCTCTTGTACAAGCACTGAGTCAAGAATGAGGGACACAGTAAGAGGGAGGATGGGGTAGGAGGGTATTTTCATGTTCTGGTTATGTTTTTGGTTTGTTTTTCCAGGAGGACGTCCATCTCTGGAAACTGGAAGGCAAACACAGGTTCTGCCATGCTAGAGCAGATTGCAATGACAGAGAGGTAAGAAAGAGAAGAGAATTTCAAAGAGAGTGTTAGCTATTCTTGGATTATAAAGGAGACATTGTATTTCAGACTTCAGTTAGTTGGGAAAACTGGTAGGTGAGGTTTCCTGGGAGGCGGGACAAAGGAGTTTAAAAGACCAAATGTTTCCTTAAAAATATACTGAGAGCACAGAGGCAAACTGTCCTAATTTGGAAAACAGACTGGAAGGACAGCAAGAGACCAATATTGCTAAATCATTAGAGCTTTACTGAATGTAGCCACAGGAAACTGGACCATCCTGAGGTCAAGCTCACAAGGACAAACATGTAGGGATAAAATCAGAAAGGTCACAGGACAAAACAYGAAGTAACAGGAAGTTATTCTAAATTCTTATAAGAGGCAGACATAGAAAAGATTTTTTCTTCTGCTTAGCAGAGAAAAATCCATCAKCTTATGTGTTGAAAGCATTTTTCACCTCATTCTCCCAAAGGTGTTTCAACTAAGGTCTTTTCACTGATGAATAGAGCAGGAGTTGCCTCATGCATCTTGCAAATTGAACTTTGCAGATGGTACTTCTATATATTCATATCAATGTGATACTTGCTTATGTTGCAATTGTATTATGTTGTTGACCCATTGTAACTCATCTGTAACCACGAGGCCCTTTTCTGCAAAATGGCAACCTAGTCACTTGTTCTCCAACCTATTTTTAATACAGTAGATCATTCATAGATTTGTAGGCATACAGACTCTATGTTGGCACCGCCCCCCTATTAAATCCAGGATTTTCCAGATTATTTCTCCAATTTGCCAGGATCATTTTGAATTCTGTCTCATAGCTTTCTATCTTTCTTTTCAGTTATCAGACCACTGTTATTTTTCTTGTGAAACTGTGAATTTGTGCATAGTGAGTGTATGTATGTGGTGCAGAAATTTACTTTCCTTCACAGAGCCAGGAGAAGTCATCCACAATTTGGAAAGCACTTTACCCTAAAAGAAAGAAGACTTACAGGCAAATACATAAAAGGCTGCTAACAGAGCATGTTTCTCTATATTACTGGTACAGTAGGGCAAGAAACAATGGGTTTAAATTATAACAAAAAAAAAAAAAAAAGGTTCATTTGGACATTAGGAAACATTTCCTAGCAATAAAGATAGCAAAGTATAGTAATGGATTGCCTCTTTCAAATCAGATTAGAGAAATGTCTTTCAAGAATGACACAGAACAGCTCTTCCCTGTTTGGGGGTAGCAGAGCAGTGTGGGTTACCCTTGAAGGTGCCTTCTGCAGCCCTAGTTCCATGAAACAAGAAAAGCAAGCCAAAYTTTGCCAGGCCCTAATGGGGCCGTGGGATCTAAACATTATTGTGGATCCTGGTTGTTTATGACATGGCTGAAGATAGAGGGATGAAGGGCCCAAGTCCCCTCACCGCAGTGTGCAATATTAATGCCCAGATTGCTCCCTACCTCTCAGGATACACTTTGCATCACCAACAACCCTCTTGTTAGTCAGGCTGCTGAACCTAAACACTTGCAGACCTCCCTCAGAATCATGGAGTCACAGAATGGTTGAAGTTGGAGGCGATCTTTTGGGATCATCTAGTTGAGGTGGCCCCTACCTTAGTGTCCAGCTCCAGCAGGGCACAGTGGGGGCTCATAGTGCATTCCACCTCCTTCACATAGTCCCTAGCTCTCTCCGTCATGATATCCAGCCCTCCTTCTGCTATTTCTTCCTCATGGGTGCTGAGGTGAACATGCTTTGTCTCCTTATTAGGCATAAGAGAATGCTGGTAGTCACATAAACCATTTTCTTGCTTCTTTCTACAGACGTTGGGTTGCACAAGTTGATCATTATATTTTCAAGGCACTCTAGCTGGCTTGAAGGATATAAACTTGTTCTTTGGCAAGAACAACTCTTTTCCCATTCTTTTTAGGATCTGCAAAATGTCAGTGTTTTCATGAGACCATGGCCTTCCCCTCTCCTCCCTGAATCGTGTCATAGTTCTGCTTACAGATCTGCTGTTCTGAAATTATTTTTATTGAAATAGTCAGAACTGCAGTGCAGCTGCACAGGAAATAAAGCCAGGCTGCCTCTCTCCCTCCTCATTTCCGCAGCAAGGGGATGTGGTCCCCTCTAACATGGCTGTTGCCATTCTCTCTTCTCCTCTGACACGGGAACATCTAAGGRAGAACCCATTAGATGCGGCCTTTCTTCCTAGCAGCTCATTTCCCAATCTGGGGCAGCTGGAGACAAGGGCTGTAGCACGTAGCTCTCCCTCTGATTAAGCTGTCCCTAGTCTATGTGAGGGGAATACCTGGCTAGGAGGAATGCCCAAGGGATAGGAGCAAAGCAGGAGACTGCAAAAGGATGAAGTGGAAAGAGWAAATTATAAAAAGCAGGAGTCACTGGATCAGGGACCGGGGAGGAGGTGGCTACACCCTGCTAAATTCTGCTCTGACTTTCCAGTCCTATTCCTGCCCTGATGTGCTGGACTTCTTATCAGGAGAAGTCTGCCTACATAATGGAGGGCTTTCAGGCAAAGCCAATACAAACGCTGAAGGGCCAACTCTTCTGGGAGATTAAATGAGCTAAATATTTATAGCTTGGCAAAATGACAACCGACTGGAGATCTGATGGAAATACCAAGGAGGAAAGGAAATATTTTAAGGTGGTTTTGAGGGCAAACAACCCGGAATAAAGGAAAATGTTCCTTTTTCTGCTACATCCCCTGTGCACAGACTGGGGCCATGCCCTAGCAAAGCATATATAGTTTATGTTACAATAAAAAAACACTCCAAAATTCTATGTGTTCCTAGGGGCAGAGGGATGGGCAAATATATTTGGTGAAATCCCCAATGACAGCTAATTCCAGGCCCTGCCTGTATGGTTTCTGCAGGTACAGACTCTGGGCGGACGCCTGCGCAGAGATGTTTGGAGGTCTTGATATTTGCGCTGTCAAAGCTGTCCACAGCAAAGATGGAAAAGACTATATCATTGAGGTGAGAGCATGGGGAACTTAAATGCAAGTCTTTTTAGAGAAGTATATTGGCAAAAGCTTGAGGGTTCACAGGAACCAATGTGCTTGTGTATCCCTGCGTGCACGGCCCAGCTCCTCAGTGCCAACCTATTGCCTCCAAGCTGTGGCATATGAATATATGCCAACTCAGAGTCCCAGTTAAACTGGCAGAACTGCAAGAAGGGCGCAGTGTTAAAATGCCTTCATGTGTCAGGAAATGCGAGGACAGAGACCATTTGGCCACCCTTGCTTGCCAGTCAACAAATCCCCACGGTGCAACACCTACCAGCATGAGGCAAGATGCAGAACTGCCTCCTTGCAAGATGCCAGCTGGCCCTTATCAAGGCCACAGCTCTCATCATGGGCTGCCAGCAGCATCCAAAGCTTGGCRTGTGTCTCACTGCACTGATGCCCCAGCACTATCCTTCGGTAGCACTTACCAGCAACAACAAAAATGAACTGGTTGAGACTCGATCCAACTGGAGTTCAAGCTCTAGAGGATGTTAACATATTAGTCAAATTAACCTCCCGCCACTATCCATAGGGAGAGAAAAACAGCTAGGTCCAGCAGGTCTTTCAACCCATTGAAAATGCCTGTCTCTCCAAATGAGCCTGCATTTCTCCAGTCACTTTAAAGGGAATCCCAATAATAAAACTCCTAATAGCATCTTATTTAAGAAGGTAGAATAAACAGAGTGTAACAAAGATGTCTGTAAGCAGCATGAACACTTTAAATAAAAGTCATTTAAATCTTTTGCCCAATCCAGCATTCACTTCAGTAATAGACTAGTAAGACAAACCATAACAGAGTTACTATGGGCTGCGTGGATGACAAACTCCTGTGTTTGGGACCCCATTAACGGGAGAAACTGTGGCTGGGAAAGCCAAGGTTCAGCATGCTCCTCACCAGGCCCAGAGACACAAGTGAGAGTAGGCTAGATAGCACGTTCAGGTCATCGTAACAGGGCAGAGAAGGAAAAGCTGGCCAGAAAATCAAAGTGGAAACTTAAGAGACACTCCGGGGGAGAGAAAATCTGGCAAGTAAGCAAGTGCCTCTGTCACTATGCAATTGGAAGAGAGGCACAGCATCTGACCTGCTGTAAACTCCGCCAACACAGGCCAGCCGAGGAGGATGAGCAGGGCCAGCCTATGGCTCTATGCAGTGGTGCTGACACACTGGAAAGCTATGTGTGGGAGAGCAGTCCCACCCGCTGAGGGCTGGGATGCTGATGAGAACCACATGAGCCCTCCAGCGACTGCACATTCCAGTCTTATGTATCTGCTCTCYGGGGAGCAGTGACCTGTCAAAGGCCATGTGATGTCAGTGCACTGCCAGCAAGGAAAACGCTGGCGAGCCTCCGGCTTTCCTGCGGCTGGCAGGTCTGCTCCTGTGTGCGACTCATCAGCACCTAGAGGAGCATCCCCCACAGCARACTGTCTCCTCGCCACGAGTTTTTAAATCACCGTGACCGTGGGGGCGGAGAAAGGGAGAGCAAGGAAGAACGCTTGCTAGGAGAGGAGCCTGAGGACGCCTGGACTGTGTCCATACATGGTCAGACATGAGATGTGATTTTCAGATCCCAGCATCTATTCTTGCACATAAGCCTACGTGCGTGCACACGTGGCTGGTTCTGTGCTCCGGGATTACATGCCTCTGGCTGGGTACACACCTCTGGGTTTATACACCCAGGTATACACCCCTGCACGTGAGCGACTGCGTGAAAGGCTCATCATCCACCCGCTAAGAGCCACCATGGGCTGCACGGGCTGAAAATGTGCACTCACAGCCCTCTCCCCCCAGGCCAAGGCAAAAAGCAATGGATCTAATACAGGAGGTACAAATCAGAAGGAATACACCACCTGTGGATGATTCAGGCTCAGTTATACCCACCGAGAACCTGATTGAGCAGGTCTGGTGTACAAGCCCCTAGCAAGCCTTCAGATGCCAGGGTGATGGACRTGGTCCGGAAAGGCGTAGAGGCAATACAACAGAGCACAACAGAGCCAAGCAGGCACCTTTTCTACTTCATGTAGATCTGAGGGAGATGCTGAAAAGAAATTAACTGCCTCCAGCCTACTTTCCTGAGTGCTTTTCTTGGTTTGAAACTGATCCTTTATTTTGCTTTTTTTCTTTTGGGAGGGGGGGAAAAAGGTTTTTTCACAGTGTGACAGTTGTATTTCTCTTGGTGAGAAGGAACAGTCTGCTGTGACATTTTACAAGAAAGCATGTCTAAATGGGCTGAACAAATAAGGAATTTGCACAATGTAATTGCAGGCAGTAATTAATTTTCACAGTGCAAAGCAGTTCTCTAGGAAAGAATTGCAGATGGAGCAACGGGCAGTCCTATGGATGGAAATTCATCACAAGGGTTTGTTGCAAATGGAACCAGATTCAGAGAGATGAGTTATCATCACAGCACAAGAGTAGTCTGTTGAAGCCGGGTATTTGTGTATTGGTTCACCTTCATTTCGGTTCCCACAGCACAGAGCAGAACCTTTAGCCTTTTAAAGCACTAGCATATTTTTAGCAGTATTTTCAAGGCTTATTTTCAGACCTAGGAAGAAATCTACTGATTTCAGCAGAGTTTAACTTTATTAAAGCAGTTGTGAATTTGATTCTGGATGCTGGCTTTAAAGAACTTTGTCACTTTAAGGACATATTCAGCAAGGTTCAGCATTCCCTGAAAAAGCCAGGAAAAGCCCCCCTGGAAAAGCCTCAATCCAGCACCAGTTAGGTACTGCCCTACGCAGCCAKGTTCTCAAAACTGCTCAGCAGTGTGCATGTGCTCAGCGATGAAGGCTTAGTAATTCCCCCCTCCCTTTCTTTGGCATTATAACCCCTCCCTACACCCCTGATATGCTGACAAATATGGAGCAGGTGGAAGACAAGTAGAACAATCCCTGTGATTTATTCTTCCGCCTGGATCAGGTATCCAGCTAAGCCCTCTCTCACATGTAACCCAGTGGTGTTGCTGACCATGATTATTGCTGCCCAGCAAAAAGCCCTGTCTGTTCCTTCACCACTGCTGTATCAGTGCTTTTGACATGTCTAATCACCCATTTCCCTCCTTTCTTCCTTCCCTTGTTCCCTAAAAATCACCCAGCACCCCAGTCTGGCACATCAGAGCATGGAATAACAAGTCCAGCCTTCGGGCCTCGGAGTCCGATGGGCGCAGAGGGGGTTTTCCGAGTGTCTCCCCTGCCCTGCCGCCTCCCGCTCCCCCATGCCTTATCAGGCAGCACCAGCTGCAGCAGGAGCAGCCCCTGACCTTGGGCAGCTACAAAGGCCAGATCCATATGTGCCGGCATCCTCTCATCTTGCCCAGCTGTTCTGTGAACTCCTCAGGAAGGGATGAGCTCAATCTGTCTGCGATCCCTTCCAGCCATTTGATTTATTTCAGCATTTGCATTCGTATCTGTGCGCTTCCAGAGCGGCTCCCTGCTCCTGAAGGACAGACAAGGTGACGTCTCATGCTCATTTTCAGATGAGTGGTATCCAGCTACATGATTCTGCCCTTGGAAATGACTGCCATTTTCAAAAGTCTTTCCTTGTGGAGTGGTTCCCCCTGCATGCCCACATTCTCAGTCTCCCACATCTCACATTCCCTGTGCCAGATGCAGCACAGCAAGACAGAAGATATCCTGATGCCTGGAGCAGCTTCCCAGATCAGGTGGGACTTGCTCCACGGTTCACTCCATGCTGGTGCCTTGTTTTTAAACCACCATCTTCCACTCCAGCCCCTGCTGCCACAGAAATAAGGAAGAGCATTTTTTTAAGATGGGTAAATGAGGGAATTTTTATTACTATTATTTGGGTTTTACTGTATCTTTTGAATACAGCTGTATCCCCATCATTCACAGGAAGGGTCAGGGAATCAYCAAGTTGAGCTTGGCTGGACAAGTTGTTAGGAGAGTAATGGCATCATCTAGTGGTCAGACAGGTCCCCCACATGTGCACCCAAGTGAGCTGAGAGACCTGCGTGTTTTTACATGAACTGGAATTGCTAAATGGAACCAGAAAGCTTCTGGAGGGGAAGCTGAGGGGATGGAGAGCTGTGCAGCAGCTGCTGGAGAGCCCCACAGAGTTCCCTGGGRTGCTGGGATGTGTAAGGGGCCTGGCCATTCCCTGCCACCATGGCTAGTGCCAACACCTCTAGGGTTCATCTCCTTTCCCCATCTCCCTTTCTTTCTAAAAACCAGGGAAACAGAGAGGTGGGCAGTGGAATGAGAATCTTTACAGTATAGCTCAGAGTATAGTGCTTATAGCTGAGCACTTCAGTTTAATTTCCCAACCTCCTTCTTATGCTCCATAGGTCAAGCCGACCATGGCTATAAACACACAACTCTTCAAGTTAAAGCTTCCTAAGCGGCTCCTTTTAGTGTTCGTGGGACAACTACAGACACTGATTCCATTAACACTTATTTCATAGGATAAGGCTGGAATAGAAACTCGATGAACTTGCTTCACTAACAGATTTCTCTCATTTTAACTGAAAAGAATGAGAAACTTTTCACTTCACTGGAAGAGCAGACTCTTGCAGCCTTTCTGGGGTGGAGTGCACTTGTGATTGTTATCTGAGTATGAGTCAGTGCCCTTCTAGTGTAGTGCAGCCTTTAACTCTGCATTTCCAAGGTTTTTTAATGTTTGGTTTAAAAATAAAGCAAAAGAAAATAAACTCTTTCAACCCTGATATTTTGGTACGATTATATTTACTCCAACTGAATCTTAACATCATCATTGTACCATTTTTCCTGTGGGATTTAGCCCCTGTTTGTGAAATACTTGATTTATGATGAACTGTTGAAAATTATGTTTAGGGCTGCTGTACAGCTGAGGGTCAGCTGAGCTTTCATTGTTATTACTATTGGCAGAGCATTTCTTACCTTAAAGACCCTTTGCTGGCTCTCCTTCTCCCCTCCACGCACCCTCTCTTTCTCCAGCACAGCTGTAGTACTTGTTTGGGAAGCACTCATATCACAACAATGTCAAGAAGACAGGAGAGAAAATGTTYACTTTCCTGTATGGAGTGCTGCTGTTTTGGTGATATCCTATCCATTATGCATCTGTTGTGTTTACTTCCCCTCTCAGAGTGCACTGTTTTGCATTGATTAATTGCAAAGGTTTCCGGGTTCCCTCCAGTGCCCATTGCTTCAACCTCCACAGGCTTCAGTACRTTTTGTTTCCTTTCTCCCGTGCCTGCTTGCAGCCCTTCCTGCTAYGATGCCACCCCTAAATGCCATGGCACAGCAGCAGAGAGACCTCATGCCCAAGAGGCATCTCTTCAGGGCATGTGAAAGAAGCAGTTTGTGTTTAGTTGATCTAGAAAGCCTCCAGCYACTGCAAGTCTTGGCTTGGTGTCCATGCTGTGAGAGGAAGGAAGATGGAGAGGAGGGAAGTATGAGCCATTTCCAAAAACCAAGAAAAGCTAAGGCAAATCCCACCCCTGGAGTCAAGTGTGTCCCAGCGCACAGGGTACTGACTGACTAGAGGTGTCAGCAAGGATGTGGGGACACAAAGCAAATTATTATGAGCATCTGCCTCTAGGAAAGGTCATTAACTTTTGTTTTTCCTTCTTGTGGCAGGTGATGGACAGCTCAATGCCTCTGATCGGGGAGCATGTGGAAGAGGACAGGCAGCTTATAGCAGATCTGGTTGTTTCCAAAATGAGTCAGCTTGTCATAGCTGCTGGATCTACCCCATCACCGCTGAGGCCTTGGGTATGAGAATATGGAGACATTTTGGACAAAATGCCTTCCCAGACCATTTTCTTTCTCTCCTGTGAGGGTTGTCAGGCAGTCATGTGTCTCTCAGAATCATATGGGAATGTATTGGATGGATTCACTCCTGCTTTTTGAAGTTCTCTCTGCAGTGGGTGTCCCTTCCTCTTCTGTGTGTCTGTGATATCACATTGATACTATGGGTCGTGCATCTGGACATGGTTTATTAAGCTCAGTCCCTTTTCAGATCTGTATATTTAGAGGTGCTTGTTACTCCTGACTTCATCTCCACAAACACCGACCCTTGGGATGGGTGTTTCATTTCAGTCTTTGCATCCCTGATGGAGAATCCAGGCTTCTCCAACAGGACCATGGGAATCTTCTCCGAGGGTTGTTCCATTTGTTACTACAGGCTTGCTCCTTTGGTGAGGTCCTTCACCTCTTTCATATGGAGGACACTTGACTAAGTTTGAAATCACATAGGAACCTCTCATCTTTGACTTTAAGGTGGTCACTCTAGGGCTCCTCATGGCACATTCATTTTGTATTCCTAGTGCCATATTTCCCAGCTGCAGTGGTGTGGAAGTAAAGCACACCAGAGCACAGTCTGTGACACTGAACTGTCTCCAGGTATATGAGCAACACCTCTTTCAGTGTCTAGCAGGGATAAGCAGGAGGTTGAGTACAACAGAAATCTGTACAAAAACAATAACAAGAGAGTAAGCAGACAGAGAGATAATTCTGATTGCAACACACTGAAAAAGTTTCCATTTGAACCAGAAAGTGGTGGGGAAGGACACTCTGACTCGCTTCCTCTGCCATAATGACAGCCTGCTCCTGCTAAACTACATCCCCAGCATGAATTGTATTCATGGTAACTCCAAACCAGGTAAAACCAAAACAGGTTTTAGCTTGAGTGAGGGGATAAACATTTAGCAGACACTAAAAAAGCTTTAGGGCAGGGAAAACTACACAGAAGGCTCAGTATCTTCTCCCACTGAAGTGGAATCAAAACTGCCATCTGAAATAAACAAGAAATAAATAGAGTGTTTAAACTAAGAGCAAAGGCGAAGGTAGCAGATGTATCTGCTGTCTATGTAATATACTGGTACAGGATTGGACTGAATTACAGCAGACCTAAAATAGGACAAAAATAAGAACAAAGGAAATGGTCCTGTAGAGGCTGGATGTCAAATAGAATAGTTAATTAAAAAAAAAAAAAAAAAAANAAAAAAAAAAAAAAAAAAGGCTCTTCACCAGAAATAAAAAATATGTCTGTATACAGAATGAAGAAAATAAAAAGCACAACAGTGTAAACCAAGCTGTTCTTCCACAGAAAAGACCTGGGCACAACAAGATTACGGGATCTGTGGATACTACAACTGCTAATATTATGCTGTAAAGCATAGGTACAAATATGGAGAGGGAAATACAAAGGCAGGCAACGCACTACAGAACTAGAGCTAAAGATGAAAAGATCTACAGAGCCTTGAAAAATAACAGTTCTGAATATTGAGGGCAGCAGTGCTGAATCCATAAAAATATGAATCCTTGGATATCCTATGGGTATCCACAGGAGCCCATACGTATTATCAGGACCGTCTATACCAGTCTCTGGATAAAGGAAAACTGAGAACTTTGAAACGTGTGTGCACAGCATTGAGAGACGTGGAAGAAGCAACGAGACATAATGATGTGAGRCTACAGCCATCAAGAACAAGCCAAACAGCTCAGTGAGGCAGCAACTCTGAGAAAGTTTCCCATCTTTTTAGGTGACTGCTTCCTGGAAKAGCAAAATCCAAGTGAAGCAGAAGTTAACAGCGTAGGGGAGGTTCACGTTTGATAATAGGAAAAAAWTCTACACAGGGGCGGTGAAGCATTGGAACAGGCTGCCTAGGGAAGTAGTGGAGTCACCATCCTTGGCTGTGTTCAAGAAACGKGTAGATGAGGGACAGGGTTTAGCAGGTATGGTGTTGAAGGGTTTACAGTGGGACTCGATGATCTTGAAGGTCTTTTCCAATCATAATGATTCTATGATTCTATGACTTTGTCTCCAGACATGCCCAAGTACAATTCAGGAAGTAAACACGTAGTAATCAGTTTGAAATTTAAGGGGCAGATGTGATATCAAAAAAGTAATGGTATGACATGAATTATTGAAAGGATCATTTCACTAAAAATGAGAAGAATAATCAAAAGCTTCCTAGCACTAAAAGTAAAGCTGTATAGAAGTTATTTAAGAGAGCATTGTATTCTGGAAGACCTATATACATTTCTGATCTGCTCCTGAATCAAGAATGCAAGAAACAAACTCCTAGAGCTAAGAGGGAAAGTAAAACAATATGTTGAACAACACAGAAAAACAACTTCCRCATTTGGAAATCTGACATTTAGGAAGAGATTTATGCACAGTTGTATGAGTAATAAAAAGAAACTTAGAAAAGATAGAATGGATTTTGAAGAGCAAATAGAGCAGCAAATAAAACAAATTCTTTAAGTTTATCATAAGGAAGAACCTTACCAAAGAATTGGCASCCTCTATGGATCATCAGAAGTTAATGCAGAAAAGAAGGGCAACAGAGTTAGTGACTAGCAGATTTAATTGCTGAAAGTGGGGAACTTCTTCAACCAAACACAGTTTTTCTTGATAATAAAGACAGAGGAGTAGGAGAGAAGAAAAAACAATGATTAAATCAATGATCACTGCTATTTTTAAAAATTATTGAGTCCCCAGACACAGATGGCTACATCCAGTGAGATAAATTTAGGAAGCAACTCAACTGCCAAGAAAAAAGTACGATTTCATTAGAAATAGCTACTGCTGCAGCAGACTGGTGTGTAACAAATGTAAAATGTGCGTTTATAAAGGTTATAAAAGTAATGCTAAAAATGTAAACGAATAAGTTATGGACCATACAAATTACCTCTACAAATGATTTGAGGACTAATACAAAACACTAATAAAACAATGAAACTGTGGCTTAAGAGCATCTAGCAGGGTTTTTGTTTGTTTGTTTTGGTTTTTTTTTTGCAAAGGGAGGTAAGATGCTAATTACAACCTTTTTTTTTTCATGATTACAACATGAAATCTGATTTCACAGATACAACATGGTTACAACTGGTGCAGCTTCATTCTGGCTCTTTGTTGTCTCCCTTTCAGCGGCACAAACGCCTTGAGCTGACCCTTTCCCTAACTGAGGAAATTTCCCTAATTTCCTTCATGACTGAGGCTTGAAAGCCAGTTTTGCCTATATTTCTAAGAGGCTTGGGGTTGGCTATAGGCATAGACAGTGCAGGTGAAGATGAGGTCTGATTGTCTTTCCTTGGCTGGGCTAGTCAGGATATCTCTCGGTATTAGCATAGCAAATTCCTACCAACATCAAGGCAAGGTTTAGTGAGCCAGGGACAAGAGGCCAATGGAAAGTTCCTGAGTTTTCCACCCTATCCATTTGGCAAGTCCTGAATAAACAGCGTACAATGGGCTGGCAATCTCATCCCATTTATGTTAGTCAATTGAAACTCWTCTCTCTGCTTCCAGCTATGAAACATTTCTTCCCATTTCCAGAATTGCTTAGCTCATTCTCTAGGCAATCCTGACCTTCCAGGAGCCTCAACAACTCTTTTATCATTGTGTTCTCCATGTAAATAATCCAGCACGTACCAGTCTATCTGTCTCCAACTTCCCTTGCTTTCATAAACAATTTTGTGTAATGGGCTTACTCAGACTTTTGTTAACCTTGGACAGTCCCTCTGCGCAACAATTCTGTGTTGCTTAATCTGATTATTGAAATATCTGTCAAGAAAAGTAAACAGTAAGAGAGAAAAAAAGTGCAGATGGCACCAACTTACTTGGGTTAGTCMGGACCAGGGAGAACAGTGAAGAACAACTGACAGAGCTAAGTTTGCTAAGTCACCTTAACAGCAAATGAAACTCTATATTGAAGATTGAAAGGTAAGTTGAAGTGAGTGTAGGAAATATATAAACAATCTGTATATTTCGCATGGTCTAAGCTAACCATACCACTTGAGAGAGGTACTGTYCTGAACAGGTTCAATCTGTGGTTGGATTAATATAGGACAATCGGGGAATTACGATGAACATGAAATGAGCCAGTGTTGTGTATGGAGAACAAAGATACTGCTCCATCTGGAATAACACAGGCAAAACTGCCTCTGACATCTGCAGAAGGATTCACAAAGCTGGAAACAAAACATTGGTAATGAAATGATTGGGGCCCGGAAACATTCATGTGGAGATACTGAAGGGATTCAATCTTTTGGCTTTATAAAGGAGAAGTCCTAGTAAAAGTGGATTGTGAGAACTGTTCTCAAACTTAGAATGAAGCAAAGAAGTTAGGAAGTGGGAAATCACGGAAAGGAAATGCCTTTTAATTCACCATGTAATTGGACAGCAGAGCTTATGCCRTAGAAGGTCAGTGGAGCTGAGATCTGGGCTAGATTCTAAGGTCCTGGATRTCAAGATTGAAACAAAGGGCATGGAGCTGTTGCAATGATTTTGTGGAGCAAATTGTAAACTTCATGTCTCAGAGTTTAAGCTGGTCCCTGCTTATTAGCAGTCTACTTGAGAACCCTTAGGATAAAGAGATGATTACTCCATATATGTAGATTACCCCATGGTTCATTTCTACTTCCTCTGGAACATCTGGTGGTGGCAACTGTTCAAAATGGGAGATGGGACTAAGTGATCCTTGGGTCTGATGCATTTGCCAATTCCTGATCGGCTAATACATGTTTGAGAATGTAACTTCATTGTTATTCCCTATGAGCAAACAGTTTTTGTGGGTTTTTTATTACTCAGCTTTCCACTTTAGTCCTGTGAGATTTTACCAGCCAGATGCCGAGAGTGTGTGTGTATGTGTATTTATTTAAGAAACATCTCAGGATTCTGCAATTCCTACATTAATTTCTCTGTGGGGACACTATTAACTGAAATGGATTCTTTTCCTCTAGCCTCCACAAGGTCAGCCTCAGCCAGTGAAATCTCAGCCTGGACCTCAGCTTGGACAACTGTCCCAACCACGGCCACCTCCACAAGGTACAGTTCTTTAGGATGCATGACAGTAGGCTGTTAGAAATATCGGTCTGCATTCTAATTAAAATATCCCAGCATCAAGATTTTACTGATTGTTCCCATTCACTGAGTATCGGGCAGCAAGTTCAGTGTGCTGTTGAAGCTGCTCCTGCAATATTCCACAGCAGCTCAGAAAGCAGAGTTGAAAATCTGATACAGATCCAATTGATACTGCAGCTAGAGCCTAGCTTAGCAGTGCGAGGCCACCTGAACTGGCCCTAGAGCAGGAAATGGGGAAGAGCATTTGCTTTTGCATGAAGCCGTAGTGGCCTTTAATGTTAGGGAGTGATGGGAAGACACTAGTTTTGTCAGGCTTGGAACAGGCACCAGGTTGTTTGATCCAGCTGGCAAGATGCTTCCCTGCCAGGAAGGAAAAGCACATCCTCAAGCCCTCCTGACAGAAGAAGCAGGTTTGACTCRTGAGATTGGGTCAGAGCAACACTTTGTTCATTGTCCTAATTTAGGTTGTGTGAAGAACTGCAGGGCTGCCTGGCTCCCAGGCCACGCTAAGCTTGTAATTYACATGTCCTCCCATGCTTTTTCCTCTAGACATTCTTTTTTTTGCCAGTCTTCTCAAATAAACACCCATCCCTTATTACTTTTTCCCCATTGGTCCCAATCCAAATATGGTCCCTACGTCCAAAATTTTGTATTTCTACCAACGTTACCTAGCCAATTTTGGCCTTATACAGTATTACTGACATGTTTGTTGGCCTTTCAAGAACCAGCTAYCCCAGATGTCCCTACTACTCCCCTTCAGTTACCTGTGAAGTTTAGCCATTTCTCACAGAATGCCCCTTTGACCACCTATGAAATCTAGCTGTTTACAGCACTACCTGTAAATTTTGTCAGCTTTTCACACCAATACCTGCCAGATCCAGCAATTTCACATGGCATGCTCGTGAGTTTTCCATGTCCTGTTCAGTTTAACCTCAGGCCAAGGCCTCACAGTAGCGTAACCTTCGCTTGCATCTTTAGCATTTTTTAGCATTTTTTAGGACTGAGCTGTGTGATCTGATTATTCCTGTTTTACTTCTGCTTGTCAAGAGCAAGTAGCGTGTGTGGGTACAGTCGTCAAAAACCTCTACTCCAGTCTCTGTTTTGAGGATCTGCTACCAAAATGGCTGAAGCCTCCTGCTGCTAATACTGGGGTAGATGTACCCGTAGTGGATACCATGTAGTTTCACATCAAACCACTGGCCCCATGAAGGGACTCTTGACCCAAACCAGCAGATGCAGCTTTCATTTTCTGCAAAACATTCATTCTGCAGTGACTCTTCCTCCTCACAGAAAGTAGCGCCTGGCAGGGATAAGAATTAGTTACATGGAGGAATACAAAACCTTGAAGTGTGTCCCTCTGCAAGAGGGCAGCGGAGAGAACTGGCCTGTAGGAATGTGGGCATGAAACTAGTGATAGGCCTGTAAAAGAGGAYGGCCCTTATCCCTCTGTACAATGCTACTCTGTTTCTCCCCCTCTCAAAGCCTGTTCCTCCATGCAGATACTCTGCTTGTTGTCCATCACATGYATCTCCTCATAATGTACACCTACACATGCCTTTCAGGCGGACCACGTCAGCCTCAGGTATCCCAGCCTCCGCGGACGGCCGCCCCGCCGCAGCAACGGCTTTCTCCGCAGGGACAACAGCCCCAGAGTCCCCAGTCCACTTCACCTCAGCAACAACGGTCGCCGGGGTCTCCGCAGCAAGTCCGGGCGGCCACCGGCTCCTCGCCAGTGCAGGCTGCCAAGCCAGGTGTCTTTCCACCACAGCAGCCTAGACCTCCTGCCCAAGGCCGGGCCCCGAGCCAGCCAAGCCCCACGGACGTGTCCAAGCAGCAGGCCGCTCCACAGCCACATCTGAAGTAGGTTCCTGCATTACACACGCAGGTATTAAAATGTGGCCCTCAGGAAAAGGATCCCAGCCTGGCACAAAGAGCACGTCACCTCTTGTCAGGCAGGAGTCCTCATGGTCACAGACGGGCACTGCTGTGAGTGATTTAAGAGGTACGAAAGACTGGAGAAAACACACTGGCCACCACTGAACTGCTGTCAGGAGGAACAAAGTGTTCTTTAAACCTCTAAGATTTCACATTCTTTCTCCTGCTCAGGCACTCGTTGATAATTGTGTGCCTTGCCCTTGGCCATGTTAACACAGCGGCTGCTTTCCCAGCAGTGTCTATATCCCTCTCAGACTGCAATCATCACATTAGTGGCCAGAAAGCTGGACAGGAGTCATTCCTGCACTGTTTGCTGAATGCAGGAGCAGCAGAACACTCTTTGGTGGGCAGTTTTTGCAAACAGTGGCCAAATATTGCAGACTAGTCATATACACATATYCCCAGGTGGTGGCCACATGTTAAAGCTAAATTCTCTTGGGGCAGAATTCACCAATAAAGTGTAGTGCACCTTTGGAGGAGCCCTTGCTGGCACCTCTGGTAGGGAAGATCTGGAAGTCACTATGGCAGGAAAACTTGGAAAAAAAAATGTTTGGTATTGACAAAAAGTTGGCACAAGAAAAAAAGAAAAAAAATTTAAAAGTATAAACAGGCTAAAACAAAATATAAGCTGGAAATTAGAAGAAARTTTCTAGATAGCAGAAGARTGATGTTCTGAAACAGACTTTTGGTGGTGATGCYTACATTAGCAACGCAAAACAAGAACAATGGATTTATAGATCAAAATATTGGTGCTAAGGAGTCAGTCTCCATACTTTCKGTATTTCAGGAAGTTTTATTTCAGAGCCTAATCTTGTGCTGAATGCCCTTTACTGATCAGAATAAACCACTTGGTGATGTGAACAGAAAGCTCAGTAAGTGTGGGTAACTGGGAGATGCATTTCCAAAGCCCTGCTCTCATCTGAGCTAAAAGAGAAGCCTCATGCACCCAGCAGGAGCAGTGGGGAYGACCAGTCAAAGTGCACAGCAGAGCTGGCAGTCACAGCAGGGCCTACCAGGGCGAGACAGTCCCAGAACACACTGCAGGCGAYGTAGCCAATATTTTGGCCGTCTTAGCGTATGAGTTTCCCCTTGCTTAGCCTTCCTTCTGTCCTTGACTCTGTCTGTATGGTGGAACCCAAAGGTTCCACCTCTGTCTATGTGGTGGAACCCCAAGTAACCAGCTTTGGGCTATTACCTCCTTCTCCTGAGTCTAACTGCCCTTTTCCTTTCTTGTTTCAGCAAATCACAGTCCCTGACAAACACCTTCAGCATAGCCGAACCACCCCAGCGGGGAAATGCTACCGAAGATGAAGCAAAGGCTGAGACCATCCGCAACCTGAGGAAATCGTTTGCRAGCCTGTTTTCCGATTAACCGCCTTGCAGCCAGATTTCTGCTTCTGTCAGCCCTCACTCTTCATATCAGCCTGTCCTGATGTCACCCTGGAATATACCCAATGGTACCTAGCAATTCGCACAGAGATTTCAACAAATGTGTCGGTAAAGGGAATTTAGAAACCTATGGTTGTTTTAATTTAAAAAAAAAAAAAGGGAGGGAATACTAGTAATGGTCTGAAAAGTGGCTGTGTAGAAGTGGCACTATTTCATTGTTCTTTGTGAATACTAAGAATCGCATCTGCTCGTATGACTGAGTTGTAAAGCAAATTTTACTCCTGCTAACCCCCATGGAGTGAACACGGTTCTGACAGTGCAAACTAGATTTTATTTTACTTGTATATAGTCAATACAATTGTTAACGTGCAATTACAGAGCCCTTGTTGAGGCTGAGCTAGAAAGAACATAGGCTGATTTCAGAAACAGATTGCAAAGATGATAATAAGCATTCAGTGACTGATAAAGTGAGCATGCCTGAGCATGCAAACAGYGAGAATTATGGAACTTCGTGATACCAGCTTGATAAAAAGTCACTTTTCAGAGCAAAAATACATTCAAATAGTATGTGGAACCAGGCGTCAGTAAACGCCAAGGATCACATAAGCAGAGCATGCGGATGGACTGCATGTCTGCTCCAGTTCTCTCTCTTCATAGCTGTTAAAATGTCTCTGTTTCATGCCTTGTATTTATGTTCCCTGCATGTGATTCTTGAGTTCTGAGAGAATAATGCTATGTTCTAACCCTGGAGCCCTAGCTCAAAAACTATCTGAGAAATGAACCTTCCACACACAAAATCTCTTTCCCTGCCCCCAGAATCACCACTGAGTTCACATCCACAGTTCACACAAATTCCAGATAAACCCAGCTAAACTCCAAGTACTTCGGTGACTTGGTCACATCTGGTAAACACGTCCCCCAGGAACACACACAATTAGGAGCAGAGCTGATGAAGTGCACGTGCTCGGGTGCTGAGTGTTCCATAATACTGATGGAGAGAGGGATGGAATGAAATCCTGTCTCCCTCCCTGAACTCCTGCTGGCTTCACTGGGGTGAGTACAAGATGAATGCAAGGTGACAGAGCCATGACAAAGCCGGAAAACTCACATTTAGAAATGAGATGAACCAGGGTAGATCCAATGACTCCAGGCAACGGGAAGGCAACATATCCATATAAACACACCGGCGTGTGCGTAGCTTACAGTGGGAGGTCATGCAAAGCAAATAATGATCTGTATTAGATGTCCTTCCTCACCTACTACAGGGATTATTCTTCTGGAGAAGTCAGAGATGAAAGAAAAACTATTTCTTTATCTGGTGTATTTCTTGCAAGCCTCCGATACAGAAAGAAGTAGCATTTGAGCACAAATGGGGACTAGGTCTCCATTTTCGGTTTGCAATTTTAAAAACTTGGTGTAAATCAATAAAGTGATGGATATTTCTATCAGTGGAAAGAATCTACCTCTTGAACCATGGTAGATCTGTTTATAACACAGCTAATGAAAATACCAGTTCCATTTCCCATCTGGCAGACAAGAGGCAGGTCTCTAAGGGGGAGGCTGGCAAGCCTCAGTTTTTCCTCAGGCTTTTCCATGTAGTTTAGTCACAAACTAAAGTGCGTGCAGCTTCAAGGCCCAACCTGGAGCTTGTCATCTCCCTTTGCAACTCCCTTGGGAGTACCAACGGAACAAAGTTAAAGCAACTTTCCAGCCAACAGCACAGACCTTTGCTGTCACTTTGATGGGGAGATGCCCAAAGAAGCAGCAGCAACAAGAAGACTTGCCATCCTGGACTTCACAGATCATGGTGGGAATGAAGCCAAACTAGCAATTTCTTTCTGCACAGCCTGTAATGAACATCTAGGTCCAATGTGGACAGAGCATAATCTATCCCCGAACAGGTCATCACACATAAAACAGCTTTGCGACCTGTGCACTCCCAGGCAAGAAACTTCATAGCTTTTCCAGACTGGAAGGCTCTTGAGGGACTCACCTGGATCAGTGATTTATATCTCGAATTAAAGAACCAAATTAAAGAACCACCTTATTCCCTGATGATTTATTTTTTTTTAGTCTGTGCTGTCCTTCCAGGCTTACTAAGCAGTTTATGATGTAGCATCATAAATACATGCCATTGTATGAGAAAGAAAACAGACCCTGCTGTTTTGCAATCTCCAGGAGCAATAAAAGAGTGACAAATGGCCTTGAGCAAACACTGTCCCACTGGCAGGAACAATAGCAGATTAACAGGCTCCACTATGTGCAGAGGAGGTAATACAACCCTGGTGGGAGAGGATTTCCTTCTGTAACACTTCCCTCAGCATAGCGTATCCCTTTCTCTGCTAAATGCTTGCAGGATACACTAGGGATTCACCAACCTCCAAATCTTACGTATCTCTTCCTAATGCAATCCATAAATAAATAAATAAAGATTAGCTTGGCATGGCTGTTTAAAGCCACCCCAATCAATGCTGGAGAGCCCAGCGCCTGGCTCACTTGCAGATGCTGCAGCTGCCTCGGGCTCTCCTCCAGCTGACCCGTGCAACAGGRCAGCACCGCTGACGTGATGCCCAGCAGCGACTCACAGCTCCTCARTCCTGCACTGGAGCCTACAGCTCCGGCTGTCGTCCTTCCAGGAGCAAGCAAACAGGATGACCTCTCCCCTCCTGCCAGCTCAGGCTTCCAAAAATAAGTAAAATCCACTATCAACTCAACTTGGCTACTCCTGTAGTTCCCRAAAGCATCTTTAGTTCTGTCCACAGAAATGCTTTAATGAACACCCTGAACTGAATCCCTAAGTCAAGATGATGAAACTCCCTGAAGGGTCTGACGTTGGTGAAAACATGTTYGAACAGTACAACAACTTCAGTCTATACCTACGAGCTCCACACACTGTATATTTCAGCTAACAGGAGATGCACAAATGCAACATCTGCTGCTCGCGTTATTGTCTTTGATGCAGACTTCTTTTTCCAAAACCCCTGCAATCTAATAAAGCAAAAGGGGGGACTACAAAAGGTATAGACTCCATTTTATGAAAGAGGAACATATCCATAAGGTATTTAAGTACCAAAATATATCATTTGGAGTTAGGTGGGRCAGTAAGGGGGCAACAGAGAAGCTGGTGAGTAGAAATTGCAATTAAAACACAGTGCAGAGATGCTCCGTGGCAGGTCTCAGGGTTGTTGTTCCATAGCTCTCAAAATCACACACCTGGTCAGAGCACCGGCTTTCTCTTTGTTCTGCATGATCAAATCTTCTTCACGTGGAGACCAGGAGACACCAACGGAGGAGCGTATTACAATCCGGCCCAAGGAGCTGGGGCACAAGCTGAGATACCCACTCACATTCACCACTTTTTTTTGTTGTTTCCTCCTCTGAAAGTCACAACTGACAATGACACATAAACCTGCTTTAGCAGCTGGCAAATTATCAARGTAACAAACTTGTAAGCATTTCCTCTGCTTTGTCTTCTAAAGAGATGTCCATGAGATGCTCATGTTGTATTTTGTCTCTTGTTTATGAATTATTAACAAAATGTTTAGGGAACCAGACAGCCGATTGGACTGAGCAGTCAGATTCTTTCATCTTTGGCTCACAGTACCTTTACCAAAGCACAAAGGAACAAAGTAAAAAGAAAATAAAACGAAGGACTATCTGCAGGTAACTCAGTGGGGTCATGATAAACAAATATCAAGCAACAAAATCCAGCTTAATCTGGAATCTGTGGCATTAGCCTGGCAGGGAGAACAACCCAGCTGCTTTTTCAAGGCAGAAAGTGCCAGGCACCCAGGCAGTGCAGAGCAGGGCTGTGGAGGTCATCAAGGCACTAGCAGTGTGAGGGAACGTTGGTACCAATGTTAGGCCCGAGATGAACACATCTCTCACTATGCACAAGCACTATTGTTCCCAGAAATAACTTGAAAAGGGGAACAAGCTGCAAGCAAATCCTTGTACTAATTAGAGCAGTGTGCCTTTATCAATGTGCATTTCCAAGGCACTAGTGACAAGGGCCGAGGTTCAACACCAGTGCAGCCCTGATTTCCCCTGATCCTTTTTAAAGCCAGTGGGATATAAAGAATAGTTGAGAGCTAAGGGGCTTTACCATACACTTAAGTGGAAACTGTACTGGAATCAGACAATTGCATTAGTACAGGTAAAAATCTGTACTAAGGCTAGTCTTGGTACTGAAGGGGAATTGGTATCCTCAAACTTTATAGCGCATATCCTTATTCTTCTTTATTAACAACAACAGGATTTGCAGTRGCACGCAGTACTGTGACACAAGAAAAGAGTAAAGAAATACAGCTTTGACAGCAAAACAAAATACTATGTTTGCAAAGACAACTGACAGAACACAAGATGAATTGCTGACACATGACCTGGCAAATATTACTGACCAAACAGCTTGTATTTCATAGTCATTCTATTTCCACAACTTTAATTCCAAAAGGATTTTAGGAAATAATTAAGTATCAGCTGTCACAACAGTCATCAGTATCAATCAGTATTAAAAAATAAAAGAAATAAATGGCTCTAGCAAAATTTAGTCATTACACTTTTCCTTTAATTCAGCATCAGGCTGCAGGTCTCATTAGGACACTTTAACAACAGCCTTGTTAGTTGTTCATTAGTTAGTAAGAGAACATCTGCAAAGTGCCGAGAACATGTTGAGACACGTTTCTTTCTGGCAAGATAGATCTGGACACTGCACTAATGCAATTAAATGAGACTCTCTGCAATGAAGCAAGAACCCACTCTGCCTCTCCTGTGGCAACCCTGTTTCCACTTCAACCAGGTCAGCCTCCTCTCAGCGTTAAGTAAGCTAGGCAGGATTTTTTTTTCCAGCAATTTTAATTCATATACAGAAAACAGTCATGTACTACAGCTCCTTCTTTGCAAGGGAAATCTGTCCAAAAAAGGAGAAACACAAAAGTTTTGCTGCTGGTTCTCCGCAGTATTGCTTCTGTTCAGACTTTTGAGTTGCACTATAGCATGAGTTTGTAAAACGAACTGCTTTGTGTTCTAAGATTACTATTGTAAAGAATATCCCTTCCCTGTATTCTTTGTGTATTAAGTATCAACAAATAATGCTTTTTACCTAATAAAACATAAAAAGGAAAATGTCATCTTTGAAACAGTTTATGAACTCAAATCTGCTACTGTAACAGCAGTAGAATTATGTTCTATGTAGAACATGCTAATTTTTTTTGTTGTTAAGATTATTAGCCAGCTAAGAGTTGAAACAAAATCCTCTGCACTGACCAGTTAATAGAATTCTTGAAAGAAGATGGACAAATTTAAGATTTGTATTTAAAGTGCTCTTTATCTGATGCAGCAAATGTTAGGCTAGTAGCCTTCTGGTCTCTAAGTAGCACTGCACAGATGATTAGAAAGAGGGGAGGAAAAAAAAATAAAAAAATTACAAAAAAAGAAAGAAAAAAGAAAACAGCACAAACTGTTCCAAGTCAGAGCTCTTCACCCAAAAGAGCCACGTGCCAGACAGTGCAGTACCAACAGAGCACGAACAGCCTTTGTGGGCGAGACATAACCACGCATGTGTGCTCTTGCCACAACGTGAAGAGAAGGCAGATGTTAGTGCCTGCATTTTGCATCCTCCTGCAGTTAGAAAGCAAGCTCAGAAACCAGGAAACCCCCTGGAGGAAGCAGCAGCAGTCAAATGAACGCCCGGCGAATGTCCATGGGGCGGCCGCGGCTGGGTCTGGGTGGAAACCTCTCACTGGGAGCAGCTCGTCCTGGAAGCGTAGGGTTTGCTCCAGGCAGGGAGCCGATGGGGTCAAAATGTGGTCTGAATGGGGGAAACTGGCCTGGCGCTTCCCCTGGGCCAGGAATGAGAGAGTTAATGGGGTCTCCAGCATATGGAAGCGTTGGTCTCTCATCGTATTCTCCACCAATCATCATTGGAGGATAAATCGGATTTGATGGGAATGGGTTGGGAGGAAAGGGATTAGGATAGAATGGGTTGGGATGGAAGGGGATTGGATGAGGTGTCGGGGGCAGAAACATCGTATGCCTCCATCTCAGGGCATCCTTCTTCTGTTTCAATTTTTTCTTGTACAGCTGCAGGCAGAAACAGAGGTATTTTAAAGCTCTACAAGTGCTTCATGTTCCAGCTTCAACACTGGAGCAGTGTTGGAAAACTGGACACCCAAAAGCCCTCACCGTTGTTAAAGCTCAGAACAGTCCCACTGTTTCCCAGAGGTGTTTCCCAGAGGAAGACCCCGCACCCCATGATGTCAGCACGTCCTACGTGACTTTGATGGTATTTTCTCCTACGCTGAGCAAAGCTACCGTGTGCACAGAGAAAACCACACCGTTTTAAATTAACTCATTGTCACTGCTTCCCAAAATCTAAACTTCATACTCAAGCTAGCCCATTGAGACAAGTGTTAAAGAGCTTATATGAAGCAGTCACCTACTTCTTTCCAGTCCGTGTCACGAGGCCTTGTGATAGGATCTATGAAGAGAAGCAAGAGAGGAATCTCAGATTTTATGCAGTATTCATGCCTAGCATGCCCACAGAATTAGCTCCTGAGGCACCTCTTACCAAAATACATCAGATCGAATGCCTCTGTTTACAGAGGAATGCAATTAGAGAAAATACGTGTCTCAGCATTACCTCGAAAATCTCGCAGATACATAAACCTCCAAAGAAGTTGGTCGTTTGAAGCTGTGTAAAGATCCCGGCAAACAGCAGAAAGAGAGATGAGTGAGCGGACATCCAGAAGTCTGAAAATCCGGAGCTTCAGCTCAAGAGGAAGGACCACTAACCCAAACACGTCTGGCAAGTTCAGAGCTACAAAGTGGAAGAAGCAAAAGCTTTACCTCTAATGGTGTAGGGTTTACCCTAAAAACTTTAGAACAAAGGACGCTACAGCCTTTCACTTAAATTATTTCCCTTTGCAGCCCCTGCTGCACCACTTAAATGCTACTGTGAGGAGACTTCTTATGGAGCAGATCTCTTGCAGCTCTCTACATTTGTGGAGTGTATAAAATAGGCCAAGTCGTATCTTATAATGAACACTTGGTTTTGCGATGCTTCTTGCACTTACACTGCAGAATAAAGGTTGGAAGAGATCATAAGAAAAAAAAAACAATAAAAAAACTCAAATTTCACTCATTCTTGAAAAAATGCGTTAGATACAAAGCATATGCTTGACATGAACTCCCTCTAGACTTCACTGTGAAGAAGTTTCAACTGAGTTGTCTTCTGCAGACAAAGCCAAGAGCTGTTACAGCAATACCTATGCTATGACAGCTGGGCTCCTTCACAAACACCAGCTTGGACTGCGTTCAATCACCCTTTCCAAGTTCTCAAAGGCTAAGAATGTAATCCAGGGGATTAGATTCCCAAATTTGCATTTTTTCCCACATTTTTCAAATAAGACTTTTTTTCCACCCCCACCTCTACAYTGAATGAAAACTATAGAATTGCTGCCATAGAATTACTGTGCTATGAACTCCCTCAGTATCAGGTGTGGAAAACAGCCATTCACCACTTCAGTTTATTCAGTGAAATCAGAAAAAGCTTTTCACGTTCAAATTCAATCAAAAACTAGAAATAATTATTGTAATAAAACTTTGGAAATAGGAAGATTAAACTAATTTATTTAGACTGTTTCTTTCTCCTTTATCTTACTTTTTATACTCCCAGCACTGAGCAGCTGTTTGAAACACTTTTTCTTTGAGACTTTGCAGAGAAAACCTTCTTCCCATCCTCAGAAGAGTACYAGCTCAAATTCTAAATATTTTCTCCTACCTTGTCGGGCAGCAGCCAGAAGAGAATAGACCAGCTGGTCTTTGAAGAGACGGGATAACTTCTGAAGGTCTTTGTAAACACCTGCAACCTTTTCTATCAAAACAGAGAGGCAACAAAAAATTAATTTCAATATGAAAAAACGTGCCAGAGCAGACAGACTATTGTTTTCTTACAGGTGCAACTCCAGTTTGCAAGAGTTTTGCGCAATTAAAAGTGGCATGGGTCGGGGAGAAAGAGGTGGGAAGAAAACTCCGATTTCTATTCGAGCTTGAATTTTCTTAGTAGCTCTCTAGATTGGACAAGTCTGCAGTTACAGAATCATCATCATCTTGGAATAATAACTCAGCAAGAAAATACAGACCAATTCCAAGGTCAGAAGCAGCCTGGGCTTTCCTTTGGCCAGGAAAAGCACCATTATGAAAAAATACTTGAGTTGTTCAGAAACAAACTGGCTCTTATACTGTCAGAATGTCTTTTATCAGATTACAAAGCCCATGTGTAACATGCATCTATGCTGTAAACTCCTGAAATACACTTTTTTTCCCCCTCCAACAGGAATCTTTTTCCATTCTGTTCACTGAAGCAGCAGGAGCCATAAAATTCCAGTCATCTTGGACACATTTCAGGGCTCAGTTATTCTACAGCCTTTGGACTAGCCGAGCACATCAGCAAGGGGGGGACAGTGTAGGAAACTGAGTCAGCATCAACTGGCAACAACTCGACTCACGCACACTCCAGAGAACAAAAGGCTAGTCAGGTCTGCATGCACAAAGGGTCCATATCCATCTGCCCTTCTCTCCTGCCTTAGTTTTTCTCTCCTTTTGGCTTTCTGGAGAGACTTATGTAGTCAGCACAAATTTTCCAATGAAAAAAATTGACTCACTAGGAATATGAATCACCAATATGAAGAGGAATGCAACGACTTTGTGTCCTAACAAGAGTGCAGAGTGCCCAAGTGCATGCAAAAGGGGAGCATAATCCTGCAGTGCTGCCTCAGATTCACATATATATATTTAGGAGCTTGTAAATAACATACATACGAGCCAAAAGATGACGCAAACTTTGGAAGGTTCTTTGCTTACTCAGCTAATCCAGGAAATTCAAACTGTTTTAACAGCTAGGTGTGAGTTAATGGCTACACTCTAAATTCCTTTTACTGCAAGGCTACGTCTCACCTAAACTGTAACCACATTTTTTGTCATCTTAAACGGTTTAGTCCTATGTCCAAGTATATCCTTACCCATTGTGCCACTCCCTTATATTTCAGTCTATACTTACAGGTCTTACAGCTCAATCATACCTGGTTCCTGAAAGCAAACAAAGGATGTTGGCAATAGCTGTATTCTCTTCACACCTTTAATCTCTTTGTTGATTTTTAAGGTTCCTGCAAAAGTAAGAAAAGGACATTTATAAGCTAAAAACCTTATTGACAAATAACACAGACCACTTAAAAGGACCCCTGAGGCTAAGGCAGAAATTATTTTCTTCCACCTCTAGTTCCCCTCAAGGAGAAAAAACCAACTATAGTCAAGTAGTTGAACAAGTAAAGTTTTCTGGGATTTTGGAAAAAAAAAAAAAAAACAAAGTGGGACTTAAAATATCTGAAAAGAAACAGAGATCTTGACAAAAGGGCCCAGTTTTGCCTTTAACAGCACTATCACATGGAAAGAGATGTAACATGACTAAAAGTGTTTTGTGTGTGTATATATATAAAATATATAAAAATGTAATATATATGTAATGCATTGTATATAATATATATACATTACTGTATATATACACATTCTATTATATACATATATAATGTGCATATAATACTATATATATATATAGTATAATAATATATAATACAGCACAGAACACTTATTATAATCAAGACATGAAAGAAACATTAACTCCAATACTTCAAATTCTGCTGGTGAAGGACTGAACAACCTTACTACATGAATGCTACATGCAGAGGAATTATAATAAGATCTAAAATTTAACCTTAACGTGGTTAAAACATTTCATCCTAATTTTAGATAACAAAATGTGTATGTATTGTGAGAAAACATATGTGCTTAAACAAATGAGCATGATCAATTACAAGTTTTACAAATAAGTCTACAAACTTTAATAAATAGATATTCTTATATTAGGATCAAGTTCCAATGTAACACCGGTTCCGCAAAAATAAGAATAAATGAAAGAAGATTTGCTTAAAAAAAATAAGACTTGAACTTTTCCGATTGAAATCTATCTTAATATTCAGCAGTGTATATTAAAGTCCTTATGAAATGAGAGAAGAACACRTTTTTTACAACATTACAATGAAAAGGCCAGCAGAATCCTCCATGCATTGCTCTGTACAATGCTCTGTACAAGTTTCGAGGTAAAGAAAATGTTAATGCCAAAGAATGCCAAAAATATTCAGTGTAATGTAGCAGCATCTCTTTCACCTCAGTAACCTGAGGGATCAAGGTGCAAAACAGTTTTAAACATCAATTTCTGCTTCACTTTCTAAAGAATGGTGACACTTMGTAATCAGAATCTAGGGTAAAAAATCATGACAAACTTACCATTAATGGCAACAAGATCTCCCAAGGGCACACAAGTCAACCCAGCAGTGCCCTCCTCGCAAAGGGGATGTGTGTACTGTAGTTTATAAACCCCATTCCCTCTCCATTTCTCCGGCATGGACACTGCCTTGGCCTCTGTCCCCTAAAAACACATGGAGAACAGTGCCATATGTGAGCAGGATACCAAGACTGAGGGCAAAAGAGGATTAAAAGTACAGAAATGTCAAAATTTAAATTGCAAGTGTAATTGTATTTAATCCAACTGTGCATTATGATATATAAATTGCTTTATTATATACTATTTACCTCCATGCCTCACAGAAAATCTAAGAAAAAAATCAGGAATTCTGGGTTTTGTCTCAGTTTCTGAAGGAGAGGGTTAAACACCAGACAGAGTTAAGACTGTTTCTTTGAAAACTTCATTCAGTCTTTCATTCCAGCACCTCCAGTAACTTCTAAATGCACATAAACTTACTGCACAAAAAACACATCATTGAACAGGGCTTGAAGAATCATTGTTTGAAGCGCATGGGGAAATCTGAGTGGACTAACACTATTCATGTTGAAGGCAGTATTGCACTGAAGATAAACATTATTATAAATCTGCACGCACAACCATTTCAACTTACAGAACAGATGTCTATATAAAATACTGCTGCAAAATATGTATTTTTTATAAAATATATTTTTTTAAACAGCAAAATGACAAAAGGACAAGGGAGAGCATGGTCTGATACAAGGACAGGTACCTTTGTACCTTCTTGTACTTGATCTTCTTGTTTGGTGCTTTCTGTGTGTTCAGAAGCACTTAGCACACATACCCTCTGATCCTAGACTTAAACCTGAGCAACATCTACAGAATCTCAACAGCAGACAGCAGAAACAGAAGGTTATCTGCTGGGCCCAGAGATCTCGAAGACAAACATGGAGATAGGCCTCTTCGCCCACACCTAAAGCCTGCACTTCAGCTTCAAGTCATCCTGGTCAGGCAAAACAAAAGTTGAGCCTTCAGCAGCCCCTGCTGCCGAATGATACACAGCCCTCAGCAGAGCTTCAGCCAAGTTCYGCACCAACGTTCTCATGATATTCCAAAGCTTTCTCCTACCGACCAAGAAGTTTCCTGTCTCACTGTGCACTTACCTGAGGCACGTAGCCCGTCTCCATCATGAGAAGATGTACAAGAACKATCAAGGCATCGGTGGCGCTCGTGCACTCCGCAGAGTGGTACAGAGTTTCTAAGGAGTGGGGTATTTCACCATCAGCAGCTTCACTGCACAGCATGGGTTCAGAGGGATAGGAACCTGTGCCTTCCTCCAGATCCGCATCTTCTGGAGCTAGTTCAGAAGCAAATTCTAGGCTGGATTTTGCCTGAAAGGTAACAAAAACAAACATTCATTCAGAAAACTACACCTCTCTATATCTCAAATTATTCCTTCRCCTACTCCAGTCCTCTGAAACACCAAATCTATGCTACAGACTTCCCATGCCATTTTCTCATTTCACCTTCATTTCCTAGCACCCCAGTTGCAAAAAGGGATTATACAGAGAAGCTTTGTCTTTTTCAAGTACACAWGCACCAGACCTTCATAAAACATTTGGTCATTTTATTACGTAAACTACCTGAATACAAATTGATAACAATTATGAAAATTTCAGGTGAAATCCCTCAACACATACAGGAATAATCTACTCACTGTGGCATCACCATTTAAGCTGAGCCCATGTGCCTGGCGACTACCACAACAACTCAGACACCTTGTAACCACCTCTTAAACTGCCCTTCTCCCAATAACAACAATACCTGCAACAACTAAATACATTTTTTTCAGATTGCTAGAGGATTGTGTTTTGGGGGTTTTTGTTGTTTTGTTTATTTTGGGGTTTTGCTTTTAAAAAAACAATACTTAGTTGCTTGGAAATCTCTCATCTTAATTTTGGAAGAAGACCTGAGGCTTCCTTATCTTGCCTTCAAATACTGAGATAAACAGAGATTTGTGCCCAGCTGAATGTGGTCTGACTGACAGGCATGAGCAGTTTGCCTGCTTACAGTACCATGTAAGGGCTGTTTATCCTGATAGGAATGAATAGAACACTGGTCTCACTGTATTCTCACCTTAACCTCTATTTCCATACTTTAATAATTACTGTAGTTAAGTTTAAAAAATAAAAAAGTTATTTTTACAAATTATAATCTTAAAAATGTAAATTAAAAATTAAATGTGTATTACAATAATYGTAAATTATGGCAACTAAAACTGTAAAGTATACTTATCAAAATTTCTCATGTAAGAGTTGTATTAMGGGATGGTTTGTATTTGAAATTAGTTCCAAAATGAAGAACTGCTTGCCTTGCAAGAACGCAGGAAAAGCCCTTCTTCCCAAATTGTCAAGCTCCTTGCTAAAAGGACAAGATCTTACAAAGAGGCAGGCCATGGCACTAGGCTGTACCTGGAGAGTCTCCTCCAAGAAAACTGCTAGACAAGACTCCTCTCAGTAGTTGGTGGAAACTGTTAMCTACTCAATTTATCATCCACATTATTGGAAAAAAAAAATATGACAAAGCATCCAAAAGATGCACCTATTTGCTGTACCAGGCAGGTGGGGTCATATAGATGCGTATCTGCAGGGATGAGGTCGGAGCTATTTCAGCAACTCAAGTTTCATGTACGAGCCAGGCAGGTATTTTGTTCTATGACAAACACCCTGAACTATAGGGAACTGTTATAACCCTTAGAAAGGAACTGTGCACTCATCTAGCAAGTGGTATTTCGGACAGGCTGTATTTACTTCATTGGTATCTAGAAGCATTTTGACATCTAGAATCAATTGCCTTGAAAAGTCAGCAGGGAGTTAGGCAAGAAACATACTTCTAACTTCCTTAACCAAAGTGCAGTTCCAGCAAAAATGTCAGATCTGAAACATCTCAGAACCTCTGAACTAACTTCCATGGCATAACTAGAATAGAGACAAATTGCCAGCCAAACAACTGGTTACACATTAAGAGCCAAATATTCTAAAAGTGTTCTCGACTAGTAAGTATAGCAACTGGCTCAATAAGATACCTCATTTCTTGCCCTGTGTTGTAGAGGTCAATTACCACTGACTTACCTTATCAACATCATTCTTTTGAACTTCTCCCTGAACTTTCTGGCTCTCAGGTAGCCCATTCTGCCTTTCTTCTTTTGGGCTACTGGCCTGACTTTTGCTGGGGATTGAGGTGGACGGTTCTTGACCATTCTGGAGTAGAGCAGGAGTAGGAGATGAGGGAGGAGGTGGACTRGGTTTTGCATCTGCTTCTTCTAGTAATAAACATATCAAATCACCAGAAACAATCCCATAGGCAGCCAAGGTCTTCTCGTCTTCTGTGAGAGCATCCTTGTTGTTCAGCGTTATTGAGAACTGTGTGTCAGTGCTACAAAGAAGTAGAAGGAAATGGGTGGTTAGCTGCACCTGAGTAACTACACAGAGGTATGGTAAGAAATGCTTGCTACTGAAGTCCTATTCCACAGGCTTTGATCCATTAACAACTTGCTATGGGGAAGAGTGGGGAAAAATTAAGGGTTATGTTATAAAGTGATTCCCTCGCTTTTTTGTTTTTCTCCGAGTGCATTTCAGACTGCTGAAGCTGCTTGCCGGGCATAACCTCATACCCAGCAACGGTGCAGATATGAGGAAGCGAGCAGGTGCCTGCCGAATTCAAACACACCACGCCCGGCAAAGCGCGCTTCAAGCCGCCCACGGGCTCGGCAGCTCCAAACGCGGGGATGGGAAAAGTTTCCAAGATAAATAAAGACTCCTGCCCCCCCCTCCCCCCGCAGCACGTGGTACGGCCCCGCGCGCCCCCGCCCGGCCCGGCCGGGCCCCCCCCGCGCCCCGCCATGGTTCGCTCCGCGCTACCTGAACCCCCAGGCGGGCAGGAGGGCCCCGCGCAGCTGCGCGCGCAGCTCGCCCAGCCGAGGCTCCGCCCCCGGCACCTCCAGCGGCGCCGTGCGCTTCTGCAGCCGCACGCGGAGCTTCATGGCGGCGGGTGCCGGTGCCCGCCGGGCGATGGCGGCGGCGGGGGCGCAAGGGCTGCCGGGCGCGTCGTTGTTTTGGTCGGCGCGGCGCCGCCCCGCCCTTCACACGGACGCCCCGCCCCCCCGTCCCAGCCGCTGCCGCGCCGCGCGCCCAACGGCCGATCGATGCGAGCGGCCTTCCGCGCCGTGCCTGCGTCCTCGCTGCGCCGCGCCGGGCGCGATCGGTGATTGGGCGCTCGGCCTGAGCTTGCGCATGCGCCGGGGCGGGAGGGCGTCACCCGGTGCCTCCTCCCCCCTCCCGCACCCCCAAGTGAGGAAGGGGGCGGAGCAGCGGACGTTATTTGCCGTTATTTGCCGTTATTTGCGGCTGTTTTTTAATCTTAATATGCAAAAATTCTCCCCGCCGTGCCCGAGAGGCGTAACGGCAGTGGTTCCTGCGTACTGCCTATGTACCACGTGGTTTTGTTGCTTTTTTTTGTTTTTCACTTTTCTCCCTCTTCTTCCCCTTCCACTTTGATGCCCTTTTAGGGCTTATTCTGAAAAGGTTTTGAAGAGTGACTCACGAACACAGATGCGTTAGGCGGGGGGAAGGCGGAGGGAGGACACTGCTCCCAGACTAGGTTATAAAGGAATTCAGTAATAAAGGGCCTCTCTCTCCCTGCTACCCCTCATCCCCAAGGTTCGTCAGTGGACCRTTCTCCTAGAGGTGGTTTATTACACCTGCTGTCAAATGCTGCTGTGTTTTTACCAAAAGTACAAACTGCAGCCAGCTTKTCTGATTTTATAACCTTTATTGTCCTTGATGCTTGAGAAAGGCCTCCTTCCACATCATGGACGTTAAAAGTGAAAGGATTTTTTTTTTTTCTGGAAAAAGTCTGATTGTAAAACATTTTAAATACAGGCACTAATTATTCAAGTTGTTTACTTTGTCTAACAGCTTATTTAACCTCAGTGTTCATAGCATCAGCTTTGTCTCTGTTTTCTAGGGCGGGTGCAAACAGGAGAGTGATACTTTGCAAAACCTGTTCTGGGCTGTGGTGAAAACGTCAGGCTGGAAACGTGGTCGCACAACCCGGGTAATACGGCTGTTACATTTCCCCTTGGAGCCTGGTGTCAAAGACGCCCTTGGGTGTATTTGGACAGCTGTCACGTCACCTTGTGGCAAAAATAAATTTCCTTTGTGGGAAAATACCACACATTGAGCAGAGAAGGAGCTGGTGCTTAGTGTGATGAACTTCACCTTGCTGCCTGGTCCTTTAGTGAGAACGTGAAGCAAGTTGTTTCATGAGWGCCTTGCTGCACGTCGTCAAACGGGGCCACACTGGATAGATGTCGGGCTGGATAAATGGCAGGGTGCAGCTGGAAGGAAGCAGCAAAGACAGGGACTAAGAAGATGGAGAAGAGGAGAATATTTGGGGAGCAATCAGGAGCACCATGCCTGCCAGAAACTGCATTCACATCCCTTGGGAAAGGCTGCATCCAAAATGAGTGGCACTGCAGCCTCAGCAGTGCGGTGGCTCCCCAGTGACCACAGGYTCTCTGATGTGTTTTGTCCTTTCGTGTTGTCCCTGTCACAGCCACCTCCTGCATTCCCAGCAGCTCCAGAGCAGCTGGAATAGCCTGCCCAGGATAAGGTACCTGTGTGAAGGGGGAAGGTTCAATTTTTCCCACACTATCCGCAATATTTGCTACTAGGTAAACAGYTGCACCAGCTGCAGGGGAGCCCTTCGCCTGGCATTCTGCTAAAAGTTGTTTGAGTTTCCTGAGTCGTGGCACAATGCAAGGTTCAGACGTGCTCTTCACGCAGCAGTGACTATTAAACAGGAAAATCTGCCTAGAAACAATTAGCTTTAATATTTGTGTGTGTGACCTAGAACCACCATYGTCAAGGTGCAAGTGCAACCTGCCAACCTCCGCCTCTGAGGTTTGACTGAGCGAGTGAAAGTATTGACAGAGGCTCAGCCTCATAAACTCAGAAGGTCATAACAGGGCTCTTGGTTGGGATTGATTTCAAGTTGCCTGAAATTAAAAATAAATAATTAATTAATTTAAAAAGCCAAACCAGGAAAACCTACCTTTGGAGGGAATTAGAAGTGCTGCTTTCCTTCTGCTTTCACAACTCCCTGAAAGAACTGACAGTTGACATATTTTTCCCCACCTTTTATTTATTAACTTTTGTCTCTCTCTGCAGGCAGAGGACTTCCAGTGATCAACCTGACCTTGGGCTGGGAAGGACACTGTGCCAGAGTCATACAAGAAACTTTATTCTCAGTAGCTTGAAGAAAGGGTTGTAGGCAGGAGAATTTTGACTTGCAGCATATTGTTTTACTCTTTTTTTTTTCTTTTTTTTTTTGCTTAGTCAATGTAAAACACAAGCAGTAGAACCCATTCTATCTCAGAGATATGATCACATTACTAGCAGTACTGTTAAGGTTTCACTTGAGAGATTTGAAGCTTAATACAACTATAATCCTGTTGACCTGCAGTCAACTTCCCATGGCAGTGAAAAACTATAAAAAGTAAAGGTCTTTTTGGTTCATTTATATACCTCATGGAATATTTTCTTTTCTGATAGCTGAGTGCTTTCAGAAAAGTAATACGGCTGTGAGCCAGTGGGKTTTTTTTTCRTTGTTTTTCTTTCCATATTTCCCACTGTAAAGATCCTGTTTTATAATACATTTAATTTCAGTACATATGTGTACGTGTGTTAACTCTTTCAGTACTGATATTTTGTGTAATGGGTCACACTGAGATGTGGGAGAGGTGATAAAAYTTGCAAGAGAAGGGGCTGGAGCCTGGAGTATCACCAGAAGATTTGTGTTCGGAAAAGTGCAGTGGTTTGAAGTGGCATTTTGAGAGTGCCACTGGAGGATGTTCAGATCAAAGCCAGTGGAAAGAGCTTGATAGCTTCTCAGAGCTTGATAGTGAGCGCTACTGCTACTACTTCTGCAGTCTCTACAGAGGGTCTTGCATTTCAATGACTCTTCCTTCACATGGCACTGAAGATGCCACAGTCCAAAGTTCACAGGGAAATATCACAGTTCAGATAAATGTCAGCTGCCTGCTGACATAAATGTGGGGAGATAGCCCCAAGTTAGGATGCCTCAGTGGCACTGTGTGGCACGCAGCTGTGCAGGCATGTTTAGGTACATGTAATGCAATGCAGCATAAGCTGATATGCAGAAAACTGCCCCAAACAGGGTGACTGTGAATACATCTGCACAAACCTCCAAACAGATCTGCTACAAAGAATAATMCAAAAAGGATTGCTTGCTGTGACTAATGGTACCAAACAGCTGAGCTGAATAGATTTGATATGAATACATAGCTGCCTTACAGCACACCAATTCTTGATAATGTCATGCAAGTTCCTTGAGCTGGTCAGGCCTAAAAAACAAGGTTCATAAAAAGTGTGCTTCTCAGTGGTGATAGGTGCCTCTGACAGGCCACACAGGAAGGAGGTTTTGCATTCTTATCTGCCATACCCATGAGCTGGAGTAGTGGCTTGATTCTGCTCTTAATAGGCAACCTCACTGCAGAACTGGCAGCCAGGCCTSTGCTCATTTTAAGTCTGTCCTTCAAGGCAGTAGAAAAACACACCTTTTTCATTATTTTTGAAAGTACTGTGTAATTTACATTGCTTCTTCATCACCACGGAGCAGAGAACAACTGGAGTTGTTAAAAAATCAGCCAGAGGTGTCTAAAGCTGCAGTGTCCTTCAGGATTTCTCGTGCCTGCAGTCACCCATCTGGTTGCTGCATCGCGTGTTCTCCAAGGCTGTCAGCAGTGATGCAAGAACATTGGCTTGGGGGGGACTTCCTGAGTCACAGATTTCATTATCTTAGCTATCTTAGCTAATCATGTCACAGATAATGCTTGATAAATTTATGAAAGGAATCTTTTAACTCTTTCTTCGTAGATGAGGTTCTGCTTCTCACAAGCAGATTGCTATTTTTTCTATTTATTTCTGCTGATAAATTGCTGTAAGTTATATGCAGAGCTTTTAAGTGACTCCTCAAAGGCATAGTTTTATATCTTTGTGTTAACAAATCCAAAATCATATTTGTTTGAGTAGTAGAAAGAGGCTACATGTATGGAGGAAGGTTCTCACAGGAAGATTTCCTCTGCCTTATGATGAACCAAGAGGATCATGTTTTTCTTGGTGGGATTAGTTTCACCCCCTTCATTCACTAGGAATCTGTGCTGACTTTTTACAGGATTGTGATTTATGCCAAGTAAGAATAAAGACTGCATCAGCCATAGGGACAGAGAGAGACCATCATCCCACTGTTAGCTTCATGATCAGAATTGAAAAAGCAATATTTATTGAAGTGGCTTTATTTTTTCTATTTCAGTTGTGCTCATGCACCTTTGTGAGGATCAGAACCCACTGTGGCAAACATGAAATCACCTGMATGGGGCTGCTCTTGCTCCAGAAGGTCGTGGCTTGTTGTTCAGGGTACCAATGGGTCAGTCAAAACCAAGAGGAAAAGCAGAGCAGAGAGCTTGCAACAGACCTTCTCAGATGATAGACTCTCATATGAAAGTTGGTAGATCCCAGATAAATAATGTCTGCTGCATTCCTGTTTCACGGTATTTCTTACTCTTCTCCTGTTTCTTGGGGACCAAATTAAGGGCACCCTTACAGTTCTTAGTTTTGAGGGCAGTGTTCTGCAGAGCTAGAACAAGAGCACTGACTTTATTTTACTAAATGGACTTTGGTAAAAATAAATAAAGAATTTCTGGATTAGGTTATTAGGATAGGGTCATTACAGAGGTCAGCAACATGGACTGAGTGGCTCCAAAGAGTGGAAAGTGCTTGTTTGTTTTCCATCGGCCCATCAGACAGCTCCTACTCAATGTAGTTGCCCACTGCTAACAGATTCTTTGCAGCTGTGTTTCCTATTTTGCAGCCTGGCACAGATTAGTGGTTCTCTGGCAACTTATCTCCAAGGCTCTGCACCTTTGTGAAGGTTGTCTGCAGGCAACCACTCTCATGAAAAGCTGAGGTAACGGGGCTCCTTCAGGAAGGAAGCATCCTACAGAGTGCTGGAATCTGAGACTCACAAATGCAACATCCAGGGGGAGATGGCTGTTGCTTCCTATSGATTCTGGACAAAGGTATGAGGCTGGTAGATGACCTGATGTTTCTGGAGTCAGGAAGCAGCTAGCATTGCTTTCCACACTGAATAGTGGAAACCACAGCAAGAACCTACCTTTTCAATGGATATTTCCAGTGGCTGTGGAGAGGAAGAGGGCACCTCTTTCTGTCATTTAGCAAGCTTCTAGGTTTTTATCACTGCCAGGTTCCATGAGCATTCCTGCCAATACATTTCTCCCATTTTCAGTATGAATTTTGGATTCCTTTTCCCTCAGAGGTGTTTTTCCAGGCAGAATATCAGTGTATATGAAGGGTTAAAATCTGGAAGCTATGAGTCCTTCTTGATTTGACATTGTTGGGTGAGCAGTGGAAAAGCTACCTGTTCTTGAGCACAGTGCACACTCACAGGAAACAATGGAGCAAGGAAGAAACTGAATTAAAAAAACAATCCCCATTCTGTACTGACAGCAGAGATATTTGGAAAACTGAAGCGCCTTTCCTGAAGTGCAGGTTGGGAAGATATTTCATTTGAGAATTGTTTGTAGTGTTTTTGTTAATGACTTCTGCATTTTTCTAAGTGAAAATAATTATGTGGACACATTGTGGGCTGCAGCTCRAGGGTTTGTGCAGGACAGAGGCCAAATGGTGATAATCCTCTTTTTTCAGAGGCATTCTAGTTGTTGGTTAGYTTAAGATAATGTGATTTTATGGCTGTCTTAAATCTGTATAAGACAATAGTAATTACGTTTTTCGTATCAGACACTTCCTTAGCTCTTAGGCAGGTTTCAGCTGTAATCTTTATTGCAAGCTTTACCTAAACTTCTTTGAGACTGCTCACAAAGGACAACCCAGRTGTGGTATCTGCAGCCTGGTAAGTAGAGCGCTTTGTTGGGATGAGACAGGTACACAGACTGAAACAAAGGGGTTTTCATCTTTTGTTTTCTGCACAAAGTGCTTGGATACTATATCTCTGAGAAGACAAAAGAATTAGAAGAATGCTTTACATAAATCACAGAACTGCTTGATGCATGCTCARTTACTGAAGATACAAATCAGAGCAATTTGTCTGCCATGTATTGTCATCCACAAGGTTGTTGGCAGCTCTGACCATCAGGCAGCTGCCAGTTTCCAGCTGCTTAACTCTYTGTGCCTCTGATAAGCTCCTACAAGCAACCCTAGCATCTAACAGARGCCTGGGGCTTTGGTGAAACCAGAATATCAGCCTTGCAGTGCAAAAGTAATGCCTCTTGGTTTGAGAAAGCAATATGAAATGATATTGTTTTGTGATGCYGTGGCAGCTCAGTTGCTATTTGTTCTTCCAGCCTATCCCTGTGGATACGTTTGATAGACAGATCCAAACATGTAGCTGTGAAGCACAGTGGTTGCTTAAGGTTGCTGTTCTCTGTTTCTCAATGGGCATGAAATTCAGTAAGTACCTCACTTGCATTTATGCTTTTAGAAATCCCACTGAATAGTTATCTAGCAAATATCTACAATTTCTAATGACAGAAATGTCTGGCCTTCTGCGTTGATACTGATTTTTTTTTTAATTAGTTTTCCAAATTAGGCTAGAAAAAGTAGCATGTTTACAGGAAGCTAGGCTACTTTCTGCACAGTATAACGTTGCTCCTTGRAAGTAATTTTTGAGTTTGAGTTGCTTTAAAATAGTTCAGAGGGGAAAAAAAGACATTAGAACTAAAGAGGGAAAGAGGAGTTACAGTAGGGATTTTCAGAATGTGTCACAATTAGTTTATGTTTTAAGAAAGTTTGGTGGTTTTTTTCCTGGAACCAGTTTTTCCTGGATAGTTTCTTGAGGTAGCCTTGTAAAAAATCCCTCAGAAAACTGATACAATGCTAATGCTAATAATGTGTTTTGAGTGTCTTACAGTACAGAAGCTCATTGCAGAGCAATATTTTGAGGGACAAGACACATCTTGGATTTGTATCTGTTTAGAGTCTAACTTGATCAGTATTAATTCCAACACAGTTAAGTCTACCAAAGAATTTTTTTTGCCATGCCTTTGTGTGTTTTCTGTCAATTATGGAATCAATTTTCAGAAGTGAAGACTTCAATTATGTCTCAAGACAACATTTTTTTTCTTGAGATCCAAGAATGATCTTATAGACTGGAATGTCTGACAAATTAGCAAGACTTTTTTGCAGTTCATCAGTTAATACAATTTTGTATCTAGGCAGGTCCATTCCATGATCCCAGTCTTACATGTTGGAAAGTGGCATGCCTCATTGCTCCAYGATAATGCCAGGATGAAATTATCATAGGCCCCAAAGACACATTTCCCTAACACAGTCCTTGGAAGATTTGAAGTTGTCTTGAGAAGYAGTGTTGTTATTTCCTGGCAATCAAACAGTGTCTATCACTGATCATTTACAGACTTACTGTACTAGAAAAATCTAATTGAAAAAAAAATCAAAACCAAATCTGTCACAGCTTTTTTGAAAGTCTTTCCAAC